TTGTTTCATGGTTTAATTATTTAATTGTAAAAAATTTATATTAGGTATTTATAAAGATCACCACTGTTCAATTTCTCCTTTTACCGTTGACAGACTTAGGGTTAAAACAAGTAATTGCACAAGTATAGCCTATTTTGTAAGGAAAGAGACCTTATAAATTAGAAAAATTCTATCCTGGAAATTTCAAGTGAAACCCCAAATTAGCATCTGTCAATCAAAAATGTCATGTAATACCCTCTTGTCAAATCCCACACCTCCAATGAGTGTCAAAGACAGTCATTAAACATCTCTGTGAGGATTGATAGAACTCTGAAGCATACAAGAGACAGTGAGACATCTCACACAAGCAAGATATGGGAAATAGACAGAATATGATGATGAGGGATGAAAATAATAACAATTCTTGCATTTGATATCGCGTCTTATCAAATCGTTGAGATGTCTCAAAGTGCTTCACAAAGAATACCGTGAAGTGAATTGACTGTATATGTTTTGGGTGAAACACAACAGTCAATTGTGCACAACAGTGTTCCACAAATAGTCATGGATTGAGTGTCCAAATTATTATTATTATTTTTTGAGAAGAAAAGAATGAGAGTGTGAGGGGAAAAGGGGATGGGAGTGAATGAGTGTGAGATAAGTTTTGCAAGATACAAAGAGACATAAAGTTCACAGAGAAAGTCTGTTGAGAGAGGACAGACAGAAATACTGTAAACTGATAACTCGACACTGACTTAACTTGTCACTACCATTTAAGTTCATCATGCTGGCAATATCCCAGCCACATTTATTTATGTATTTATACTTATGCCTAACTCACTACTCCGGATAACTCATTACTAAACCTTGAAGTGATGAGTTATCAGGAATTTACTGAAAGAACAAACAATTGGATAGAGAAAGGGAGGGGGCAGAACCAGGAAGGGCGGGAGAGTAGAGGTAAGGTAGAAACACACAGAAATAAACAGGAGACAGAGACTCAAAAACAACAACAAAATACATTGCACCTTTATATTGGAAGGACTTCCCAAGGCACTGGACAGTTAAGGGTTTGCACCCGAGCTGGGGTTGAAATCAAGAGGGGTAGAGGGTGTGGGCAGTGGGGGATGGATGGGACAAGGACCAAAGGCACGGTCAAAGAGGAGGGGCTTGAGACAGACCTTGAAGGAAGCAAGGGAAGGAGTGAGTTGGAGGGATTTGGGGATAGAGTTGCAGACGGCGGGGGCAGAAAAGCTAAAGTCGCGACCACCAATGGTGGGGCGAGCAGGAGCAGGCCAATGCCTGCTGAGCAGAATACATGGACAAGTTGATATAGTGTTAATTGGTTGTATTTTGTTGTTGTTTTTGAGTCTCTGTCTCCTGTTTATTTCTATGTGTTTCTACCTTACCTCTACTCTCCCGCACTTCCTGGTTCTGCCCCCTCCCTTTCTCTATCCAATTGTTTGTTCTTTCAGTAAATTCCTGATAACTCATCACTCCAAGGTTTAGTAATGAGTTATCCGGAGTAGTGAGTTAGGCATAAGTTTAAATACATAAATAAATGTGGCTGGGATATTGCCAGCATGTGGAGGCCTGTAGCTCAGTGGTTAGAGCACTCGCTTTGCAAGTGAGAGACCTGAGTTCAATTCCAGGCAGGTCAGGGCGAAACCTTGGGCAAGTTTCCTTACTCCACACGCCTAATAATAATCCCTCCAAAAAAAAACCCCAAAAAAACAATAATAAAATTGGTCATTTTCAATCTACGACTGTTTGTGGGACATTGCTGTGCGCAATTGGCTGCCGCGTTCGCCCACAAATATACAGTCAATTCACTTTACAGTGTGTTCTGTGAAGCGCTTTGGGACGTCCTCCAGACGTGAAAAGCGCTATATCAAATGCAAGGATTATTATTATATTATTATTGTCAAGGTAGGGAGGAGCAAGGGCACTGAGTGCTATATAAGTGAGGACAAGGATTTAAATTCGAGCCTCTGAGGATTGGGGAGCCACTGGAGCCAGATGAGCAGTGGTCCTGGAGTTGAGGGTGGAGGCAGAAAGATAAGAGTTGGGTAATATCTGCATAGAAGTGGAAGTTGACCCCATGCCTACAGATACCAAGAGGTACCCGAGGGAGCATATAAATATTAAAAAGAACAGAGCTCTGTGGAATTCCAAACAGACAGTACGAGGGCAGTAGGAGAAGTTGTTGGTGGATACAAAGTACAACAACAACAACAACTTGCATTTATATAGTGCCTCCATGCCAGGGGGAAAGGGAAGGTGACCATAGGAGCGGTCAAAGAGGAAGGTCTTCAGGTGCATCCTAAAGATGGGGAAGGAAGGGACAAGGCGAAGTGGTTGAGGGAGGGAGTTCCAAAGTTCCAACTAAAGTACAGACGATAGGAAAGGTAATATTAAAACCAGTCAAGGACAGAACCATGAAGGTGGCGAAAAGATGAAAGGCGATGGAGAAGAATAGATTCATAGAATGTTACGGCACAGAAGGAGGCCATTCGGCCCATCGAGTCTGTGCCGGCTCTTTGACAGAGCAAGTCACTTTCACTAACCCCAATCACCAGCTTTCTCCCCTTGAATATCAAAGACAGCAAAGAGATTGAGACAGAGAGAGCCCTGGTCACAGATGGAACAGTGTCATCATTCATAATCCATGGTTACACTTGTTACCTACAGTTTGCTTTGTGGAGTCCAGTAGCTCAGTGGTTAGAGCACTCACTTTGTAAGCGAGAACCTGAGTTCAATTCCAGGCAGGGCGAAACCTTGGGCAAGTTTCCTTACTCCACACGCCTAATAATAATCCCTCCAAAACCAAAAACAATGATAAAAAAAATTGGTCATTTTCAATCTACGACTGTTTGTGGGACATTGCTGTGCACAATTGGCTGCCACGTTCGCCCACAAATATACAGTCAATTCACTTTACAGTGTGTTCTGTGAAGCACTTTGGGACGTCCTCCCGACGTGAAAAGCACTATATCAAATGCAAGGATTATTATTATTATTATTTTGTTTCCAGGTAAGCCTTCCCTACTACCCTTTCTGGGATGGAGTAATTATTGTTTTCTGAATAACAAGATATACTGCAGTAATAACACTGCTGATATTTCAGTACCTTTTGTCCTGAAAAATTAGTGTATCTTGCAGTACTTGAATTGAAAATATAATCAAAATGGTCATCCGAGGGAGCCTACAATTCCCTGGAGCTGCCATTGGTTTTATGTTACATTTAAAGTGGCTTGTGCTGCCATTTTGTCAGTCATTCACTAACAACTGTGCAGTACAAACTGAGTTTCAGACAGTGTGAATCACACTAGTGCCCTACTCCTGACACCAACTGGGATGTTTTCAGGAGAAGAACGATTCACACACAAGCAGCATAAACACCTTTGGTGCCAGATCACAGCTCATTTCCCATGCTCAATGCACAGTTCTGGATGTTCCACTCCACAGCTCAGGAACTTTGAACAGACCATTTTAATGCTGCTAAATAATAATCCTTGCATTTGATATAGTGCCTTATCATGTCGTTTGACGCCTCAAAGCCCTTCACAGAATATACTGTAAAGTGAATTGATTATATTTTGAGGGTGAAATGCGGCAGCCAAATGCACACAGCAGTTTCCCACAAAAAGTTGTTGATTGGGTGACAAAATTATTGTTTTTGTACTTTTTTTTGAAGGCATTATTGCCCCCCCGGAAAGCGATCCACCAATCAACTAACAATCAGGTGAGTGCTCTAACCACAACTCTACTGGACTCCTAAGAGCCAGTAGTATGACCAGAGGAACACATCATAAAGGTTAATTGATGTATTTTATTGCCATTTAAACCTTTTTCAGGCTATGCATTGAAATGTGAAGCATTGCTGCCACTGAATTTCAATTTGATGCCTGAACAGAGATTTTGCTTGTGGTATTAAGGTGAACATTACAGTTACCACCAAGCAGTTTGCTACCTCCTAAATGTTATACCAAGTCGTGCCCTGCTGGTTTGCGGAGAAATCCAGTTTATAAAATATGATTACTTGACTGTGGGATGTATTCATGCAGCGCAGAGTGGCTGTAATCACAGAACTGTGCTCTGTAGACATGATTCATCACAGATTTACAGCTTATAAAAACATAATAAATAACAGCTTTCTTTATAGGGCCAAATTTTGTGGAAAGCTACAGAACAATTGCCTGGCTTCATGGGAAGCTCCACATTTGCCAAGGAAGAAGACTCACTTGGCATTATCTTTCATTATTGATGCTGATCTTTCCTGTTGCACTTTTGAACAGAATGATCAGTTACAGTAGAAACTGTAGTGTTAGCAGTTCAGTTCATCTGCGCCCAACAGTGAGCAGTTCAAGGTGCCATTTTAACAAATAAGGGGTTTCATTATCCATCCATGGCATGAGTTACAACCTTGAATAGTCATATCAACAGTTGATAATTAACCCGATTAAAGTGTTATGAAACACTGTAGACATTGCCCCCATTCTTTCTGAACACATTTCCAAAATATGTTTTCCAAACACAGAATTCCCCGTGAAGTGAAACTGCTCCATGGATCTCAATATCTTCATCCCACCCCCACCCCTTTACTGTTTCTCTATAAGATGAAGTGAATTATAGTCAAAAATCTGGCAGTGTTCTGACTTACTGTACTAGCTTGATGTGTTTGGGGTCTGTTTGACATGCTGTATACACTAAGGCTCTTGTTCACCAATTGTACAAAATGCTCTTTGTATTTATGGAAAATTCCCTTTTTCTGCTAAATTATTTGGCTTTGCGAGTATGGAAAATAACATCACCACTCTGCAGCTCAACTGACCAGCTGCGTTTCTGCTAAAGTGGATTATGAACCCAATAAACATTTCTATTTGTCGTCCCCCACCCCTCCATTCTTACAGCTGCGTTTCTCTTTTCTGACACACATTTGAGTTGAACTTCTTAGTTTTCATCAAACTGGAACTCTGTGAACAGTTCATCCTGAACACTTCTGCAAAACACATAGGCAGGAAGCTGGCACAGACTGCAGACTGTCTGTAACATACTGGCCTTGGGTTAGGGTAGCAAACTGTGAGCAAGAGGCTGTCTGATCTGAAAGGTGAGGGAGAGCTGAATATTTGAAGGAAGCCAGAACTAAATCTGTATCCTGACAAAGTTGAGATAAGGTGAATGGAAACTGCTGGACTTTCCTGCTGTACAAACCTCTTTTAACATGGTTAGCTCCAAATACTGCCCAGCTGTATGTTATTTAGCCAGATTCTCAGGGGAGAAAGTAAAGTAGAAGCTGGGAAAGGAAGTGAAAGCATTCTTTTAGGGCTATCATTAGACAGCCTTAAAGTGACACATCTGGCAATTGAAGGCGGGGAAGTAAAAACAACCGAGGCTGCAAAGCAGGAGGAGCAGACTCCAGAGAAAGACTTGACAACAACTTGGAGAAAAGGCTGTCGGAGAAGGGGAGGAAATGGCTTGTATTTCACCCTGGCTCTGTGCTTTCTTCCTAACTATCTTTGGATTGTTTAGCTCAGCTGCTGGCTCTGGGCAAAGCAGTGGTTTTCCCATCTATACAGTGGATGATATTAAGGGTAAAGCTACCACCTACAGAAATCAGGGTTCACTGGACATCGGGAGTCAATATGAGGAGGTAACCAACATATTTTATATTGGTGTTTTCAATTTGTATGTTCAGCTGACTAACAGATGGGCATCATTATAACTGTTTGGAATAAAACTTAACCCAACAGTTAACCTTCAGCTATCTACCAAAACAACTGGATTTAGCAGACAGGGAAAAACAAAATGCTCAGTGGATTTCGTTTAAGTGCACGGTCAAACTATGTTCTAAATTTCTGCCAGTGGTGTAAAAAGCACTGTGAAAATTTAAATATTTTTGCTCAATTTGTTTGCTTTTATTGTGTTAGTAAAATGAAACTGTTGATGACCTTTCCATTGCCTGTTCCTCAACTAGGCTCTCCCACAGTGCCACATTCCTTGACCATATATCAATTTCTGTCTGTTTTCTCCAAGAGACTAATGGTATTTTTTAAATCAGTTAAAGGACAGGCTGATTGTGTGAGGCTCCAGTATGTGGATGAGAAGGAATGAATTTTGTAACACTCTTGCCCACAAACAGATCAGCAAGAAGACAGTGGTAGTAAAAGTGTGAGGTGTACGAATAAAAGAAAAAAATGAGAAGAAAGTACCAACTAATCCATCATAGAGACAATTAAACCCAGATGGAGTAAGTGCAAAAGTAGGAATAGCACTAGAAACAGGAAATTAAAATGAATACCTATGTGTAGAAGGAAGGGAAAGCACAGAGGTGTGGGAAAAACTAGAGGATGATTAAGTAAGGACATTGAGAGAGTTCTATAGTCATGATTGTACTGTATTAAACAGTATGAATAAGGAAGGCACAACTATGCACATTCTATACATTCTACATCAGATTTTATCCCAAACCACAGCTAAAATGACACAAAATATTGTGAGCCAATTAAAATGGAAAAAGTGACCAAGAAGTTTTACGGGGGAGTAATCAGTGAAATTGTTTATCTTGGGATATATTTCTCTTCTAAATTAAAGGCATATGTGACTGTTTATATGGTTCACTTTCTGTGATTCCTGCAGGGTATAATGCAGTTATGTAAGCAAGCCAACAATAATATCTTAGCTGATGTCAGTAAAAGAGAGCACTTAAAAAACAAGGCTAATAAGATAATGAGCAAATAAATAAAATAATAGAAATAATCCTTGCATTTGACACAGTGCCTTTCACATCAGGAGGACAAAGTGCTTCACAGGATTTACTATAAAGTGTAGTGACTGTGTATTTTGTAGATGAAATGAGAGGCGCATTGGGAATCAGTCGGCTGAGGGATTTATAATTTTGGATCTGAGTGTGGGACAGATGTATGGGAGAAAGGGAGGTTACGATCAGCAGGAGATGCAATAAAAGCTTCACTGTGATGGGTGTTTCTCATAAGGTCAGAAAATGAAATTGAGCACTGTTCACGGACTGTGAGAAATTAAATAGTAAGATAGGCTGTTGACCTGTGGACAATTTGTGGAATGTGACACGAGTGTACTCTTGGGGGTCATGAAAAATTGTATTAGAAAAAAAATGACACAAGGTTTCCAAAGGCCAGAGTCGCTGAATTCTAGCTTGTGAATGTGAACACTGAGCAAGTCATACATTGCCATGCATTCCACTGAAGAAAGTAACCTTAAAGAGAACCCGTGCTTGACATGCAGCCAGTGCTTCAAAATCAGAACGACGAAGCTTGCCAAAGGAGCAAAATGCGAAGGGAAATGCATTTCATGACAAAAACGCATATTGTTGAGCAAAGATGATGTGAAAGGGAAGCCTGTAGACTTTAACAGGCCAATCATTTTGTTTTTTATTAGTAAGAAGGCAATAACTAATAACTTGATCTGCCATTGCGGCATTTAAAATTTGGATCTTACACTGAAAAAAAGCTGCCGAGAGCAATCAATCCACTTAAATAAACAACAACATTTTCAGCAGCAAATACCTATGTTAAATACATTAATTTGCTTAATCTTGTGTGTGGTTTTAATTTTGCAAAAACAGGTCCACAGCAGCCCCTAATAGAGAAACGTGAGGCCTAAAACTAGTACAGTGTAAATTCACAAACAAAATATTTTTTACAGAGAAAATAATTCAAATTCCAGGAATTAAAATAGCTTGGATTGTTTTCTTCTGAGAGAAGTTATATATAATTTAACAGATGTAGTCCAAAATAAGAAAATACAGTACATCTGGGCAAACTTGATACACATCTGGAAAGGCCTGCTGCATGTTTACCTTATTGCTAAGTTTGTGTGTGTAACCATCTTTCAAGCTCAACTCACTTCACTGTGGTCAAGCTCTCTTTTAGTCAGGAAACACAAGATATTGTGTACATTTAATGCTGAATTCCATCCACCCTGTCCCTCATGTGGCCTCACAGTAAGAGACTAATGAATAGAATTTTGGTTCCCTAATCAATTGAATCATCATTGAATCGCCCTTGGAGAGTTCTGCACTTTCACTTATTGTACCTACAATGTGGCACAAATGAAAAGTTAGACCCGACCTGAGAGATATCACCACCTTTCCTTTCCGGCTGTCCAAATTCCACACTTCACATCAGAGGTAACTGGATAACAAATAGGAGGGGACCTCCAGGTGATTTCTCTCCCTCCCTAACAGTGAGCACAACAAAGCCAATTGCAGTCACCCAACTTCTGCCCTTGTTAATAACTGCTAACTCAATACAACAATCAACAGCAACAAATTACATTTGTATAGCGCCTTTCATGTCAGAAGGACATCTCAAGGCACTGGACACACAAGGGTTTGCACCCGAGCTGGAAGTTGGAATTAAGAGGGTTGCAGGATACCGGAGGTGGGGATGGGAGGGTGAAGAAGGTCAGGGCTCACAAATAAATTCGAACCTTCAGCCTCTGCTCTATCAACGCTCAGTCCTACACCTGGTTATGTTTTTAACCATTGGAATCCAAGCTAAGATTTTTAGATGATGGCCATTAATTTAGTGTATTGTGCATTTTGAGAAGCCAATACGAATGAAACACCCCGTGGAAACCTAGGGCATAGCTCGTTTTGTTGGTGCACTAATTAAATCACATCAGCCAAATGAGATACATCTGCCATAATATGTTGAAGCAACACTCTGATGAAGCAATCAATGAACCATTTGAGTTATTTAACATTGAAACGTTCAGGAATGCAAGCGCAGACTATGAAATCCAAAGTTAAATTACAGAACACAAAATTCAGAAATAAACAAGGTCTGGAGAGTACTGATGGAGAAGACAGTGTCATGGTAATAGTTCCGGTTGTGACATTTTCTCATTTGAGCCATTTTCCAACACTACCGCAGTGACAAGCCAACTACATTTTCACTGTCGATAACAAGCAGAGGAATCCCAGGCCGCAAGCCCCAAGTGAGATGCTTAATTGAGTTTACTTTCTAATCTAATTTGTTCCTTCACTCATCGCTCCCCTATTAACACCAGTTGTCCAACACTGCATACCATGGTTACGAAGATAATAGCTGTCAAATGAGGACCTTTTACAAGAGATACCATCAGGAAATAGAATATAGAAGAAGTTTTAACTTTTATGATTGTGTGTGTTTGCGTGTTAATTATTGGGAAAGGAGGTTAAAACAAGAAATTCCATTAACCCAGAAAAGATTGAAACTATTTTTCCTAATTTATTATACTAGACCCCTGTTAAAACAAACCGGAGTCCCAGGGCTTTCACCTTTGATCAAGGAATAATACTAATCTGTTTTTGCACTGTCATGTTAAAGGTTTTTCTAGCTGTTCGTATTGTTCCTGACAGGAATCTTAAAACAATGTCCTGAGCAGAACTTCAAAGAGTGATATTGTGGTGGGGTTTAGATTTGGAAGTCAAAATCTTCCTTTGGCATCACATTCATCATGCATGCCATGATGCATTTGTTGCCATGGAATCATAATGTTGTCATTCATCAGCAATGCTGTACATCTGAGAGCAGGGACTGGGTCCAGCACACTTAAAGTCAATGCCAGTTTCCTAGTACTGTTACAAAAAGAAGTAATCTAATCTTTGCCGAGCGCATAAAATAGAAACATTGAAAACCATGGAATGTGAAAAGAGCCACTCAGTCCACAGAGTCTGCTCTTTGTACATACCAGATTGAAACTGTTCACTTTGTAAATAAATATGGCAAAAGCACTGAAAGTTTATACAAAATGTTTTGGAAAGTGCAGTGAATGTGTATTTTGTGGGCAGACGTGGCAGCCAATTTGTACCCAGCATTGTCCAATTCTGTTTGAGAGATTTTTGCACAGACACCGGGAGAAACTCTCTTCGCTTTTCAAATAGTGTCATGGGATCTTTAATGTCCACCTGAATAGGCAGATGGGACCTTGGTTTAACATCTTATCTAAAGCAAGCACTTCTGACATTGCAACACACCTCATTGCATTGCATTTGGATCAACTGGGTTGTTCATATATAGAAAAATACTGGCACAGACTTGATGGGTCAAATGATCCTCTTTGTGCAGTGAAAGTGGTGCATCATCAAAACATGCTTTATCTTCACGCCTGAAATGTTAACCTAACTATTCTAAACATTAAGTTAATGATTTTTGTAATAATCATCATCATAATAATAATAATAATAATCCTTGCATTTGATATAGCGCTTTTCACGTCGGGAGGACGTCCCAAAGTGCTTCACAGAACACACTGTAAAGTGAATTGACTGTATATTTGTGGGTGAACGCGGCAGCCAATTGCGCACAGCAATGTCCCACAAACAGTCGTAGATTGAAAATGACCAATTTTTTTTATCATTGTTTTTGGTTTTGGAGGGATTATTATTAGGCGTGTGGAGTAAGGAAACTTACCCAAGGTTTCGCCCTGCCTGGAATTGAACTCAGGTCTCTCGCTTGCAAAGCGAGTGGTCTAACCACTGAGCTACAGGACTCCACATAATGGGACATCATCATACTGTAATTGGTTTTGGCATTAATTGGATCTCTTTGCCTTTCACATACTGATCCACTTGCTGAGCATTTCAAAAGATTTCTTTTTTCATTTCAGTTTTGGAGCAAGGCTGCTGCAAGTATTGTTACAATCTGCCTGGCTTCCCCTATGGTCAGGGAGTGATGGATGACCAAAGGTTTAACTAAAAGAACAAGAGAGCATCGCTTTCAAAAATAAACAAGGGGGAATGTAGAGTTTTATCAAGTACCAAAGATCACAAACCCTAACTGATGGATGTTTCACAGCTGGAAAAGATTTTCACTCTTTGAAAGGGCCAGAAAGTTCTTTTAAGATTACACTGGAAATGTGTAGCTGGAGTTTTATTTACCTATGATTCTTCACTGATTTCTAATCACTCACTGCAAAGTCATGATTGCCAGTGATTATTTTGTGCATAGACTCTTTGACTATTAACAAACTCAGTATCAATATGAGAAGTCTGTTTTGCCACTGTGCAGTACCTATGGCAAAAACTATACATGAACAACACACCATGTGAGTCAAAACCAAATCATACTCACTGATTCTCCTATGCAAAATTGAGGCTCATTCAGTGTTGAATACTATAACGTAACTATTTTCAGATGCTACTTAAAAGTAAAATATTCGAGTCACATCTAAAATATTCAAGGCACACATAAAAGATAACTGTCAGTAGATCTAATAGGCAGTTTTCGAAGAACATCTTTGTGGACAAGGTAGTGAGAATGTGGAATTCACTACCAGAAGCTGTAGTTAGCAAAAAGACAATTCACTTTACAGTATATTCTGTGAGCGCTTTGAGATGTCTCCAAGACGTGATAAGCCACTATATCAAATGCAAGGATTATTATTATTTAAGAGAAAACAATGCATACATGAGGGGAAGGGTAGGGATGGGTATCGGGAAGGCTTATAGGAAGGGTGGGGCCCCCAGGCAAGGTCAAGTTGGGCCAAAATGCCGTTTTCCCTTCTGTATCACTTTATGTAAAGTCTATGTTTTATACACGTTATGTTGGTCAGCTCAGAGTGTCAGACCGGCTCAGTTGGAAGCACTCTCACCTCTGAATTAGAACATTGTGGGTTCAAGCTCTATGTTGGGACTTGGAATTCATATCATTGAAATTGACACTCTAGTGCAGTGCTGAAGGATGCTGCATTGTCAGAAGTGCTGTCTTTCGGATGAGACATTCAACTAATGTCCTATCTGCCTGTTCAGGTGGTCATTAAAGATACCATGGCACTACTCAAACAGAGTAGGTAGTTTCTTCCGGTGTCCTGGCCAACAATCCACCAAATAAAATTGGTCATTCACTTCATGGCTGTTTGTGGTGGAAATTGCTATGAACATTTGGGCTGCTGCGTTCACCCACAAAATATTCCACTTTACATTATATCCTATGAAGCAATTGATGGGTTTAACTGATTTATAAATTTTGATAGTAAGGCAAGAGTGAAATACATGTCACGTGATTACAGCTTTAAAATTATGCCATCTGCTTATAGACATTTGGGTAAAATATCTAAAGACAAACTAACATAGCACATGGAATACAACAGCATTATTAAGTACAAAGGTAAGGACATTATTTTCAGATGGTATGCTCAGTGTGTCAGTCCTCCTTTTCTGAAAGAAGTTGTCCCATGCTGAAACACCAGATGATATTTGACTACTAAGGTTTATTTGTGGTGGTTATTCCCGCACAAGAATGCATATCTCCAAAGCATTTATTATGAGAGATTTGGGTTATAACAACAGCTTGCATTTATACAGCATCCTTCACACAGGATAGCATCTTGGAACTCTTGAGATAGATGACTGGGGCCAATTGCAGAGAGGATGGTCCATTGGATCACAAGCACTGAGATGTAATATTTCTACTGATCACTGTTAGGTGAAGAATGTAAAATATTAAACTATTTTACATTCTTCACCTAACAGTGGCACTTATTTCATCTTGCTTTAAGAAAAATCACAGTTTGTCCTGGTTAAAAACAATGAAACAAACTAACTGGGTCTAAAGGTCACATAGTACAGTAGTTCAACTCAAGCATGCAACTTGAAATACATAAGGATAGAAACTGGATTTTCAGTCCTATAGAAGCCCAATTAGTTTCTACAGTTGAAGGGTTATTGCTGAAGTTCCTTGTAAACTCTCTATTACATCTGCTACTAGTTATCTTGTATTTATGCTATCTTGTTTTCAAGAGTAAAAGTAGTTGTGACTTGAATACTTTACTTTTAAGTTGCATCTGACAATATTTACAATATTTAACACTGATGAAGCCCTAGACTATCTACTTTCTGGAACAATTTCCCTAAATTTCTCCACCTTGTTCCCTGATGCCTTCTCTGCTTTCAGAACCCCTCTAAAAATCTACTTCCTTGACTGCATCTTCAATCACCTTCCTCCTACCCACCACATTTCACAACAGCAAGCTCCTACTTATCTCTGAAGCAATTTAGGATATTTTCCTTATGTGAAAGATGCTGTATACGTACACATTGTTATGCTGGTCCCTGCAACATCTCATGCTAAGGTCCCTCATGCCTATAGTACATGCTGAACAGGGGATGTACTATTTCCAGGAACCCTGGAAATCGGGGTGTAATCTGAATTAAGCAGTGAGATTAGTTTTGATTGTACTGTTTCCAGAGCTGACCATGTTATCAGAGCATCCTGGTCCAACTTGACTGGGATGCATTATGAGTCAATAAATTGGTCCATGTTTGTATCTAAAAGGATTTCTGCTGAAATTGCCAAGAGGAATTAAAATATTAGGAGGATCAAAGCTATCTTTCGCAGACTTAATCTTGTTCAGTATCATAATGTACAACCCTGGATCTGTGAATAAATCCAAAAGATATTGAAAAAATCCAAGCTCTTGCAGGTCCCTCACAATGTTTCCTACATAGGTGACTAGCACGATTACCTTTCAATAATACTCCATGTACTAGATGCCCAGTTACAATAAACACACACACAATGGGATAAATGGTCTTCATTGCTGTAAACTTCATCTAATTCTGTTCCCAGATTGTTAATTGTCCCCTCTTCGTTTGTTGTAAGTGCAAGTATTGGTTACAATTATCCAAATACGTTTCCAATCCTCCTCAGTAAAAATATGGAGCATATCTGTAGCTCTTTACCTCACAGAACCAGCTAGTGCTCACCAGGTTCACGTGAAGCAAAGTGGTGGAAGAGCAAAAGAGTCTTTGTGGTAAATATGGATAAAAGTGACCACAGTTCTTCTGCTCCATGTTGAAATTTGGTGCTCTTCAGTTGTACCCACATCTGAAGAGTGGCTTAGCTGTTTACTAGTTGATAAAGGTTCATATATAGGGTGACCAAAAAGTTGTGATACCATTACAATTACATTACTTCTATGTCTTAAAGAAATGATGATATTTGTGTTTTTTTAAATAATATCATGACTTTGGTCACCCTGTTATACATCCCAATAATACTGGGGACACTGGACATTCTTACCATGTATTCAGGACTTTGTTACATTGGTGACAACCAAGTACAGTATCTGAAGTCTGGAGCACCTTCTAATGAAGGTTCCACCAAATGTCATCATTGGTCATCATTTCAAAGGAACATTGTTTCTGTGTCCAGGAAGACTGCAAATGCAGAGACGTTCAGGCATGCATGATATGTGAACAATGTTGATAAATGTCATACATTTTTAAAAGGGTGTCTTCCCCATGTGAACTCAGCCTGTTTTGGCTTTGGTCAGCTGGATGCCTGACACACACAGACAGGGTCACAGACACACACATTGTTTCTGTACTTAAGGATCTCAAGTTGCAGCCACCTGGAATCACACAAAAGCAGTTCTCCTTTGCCAGCATAGATTTGCTGTATGTTTTCAGATACCAAAACATTAGGAAAAAGTGTGTTAGGATACTCGTACAATTAAGAATATCATAAAATAATAGAATATTCACAGCATAAAAGCAGATAATTCAACCTTTACTGTTCGCCAACTTTAACCAGCTAAAACTATGTACTTTGCCAGTTGCCAAGCACTGATAAACTATTAGCTGCTTGCCAGTACAGGGCAAACTACCCACTGAATTAGGATTATCAAGAATCAAGTAGGAAATATCACAATTTGTACAAGATACTTATTTTAGGGTTCCTTATGCTTCTACCAACCCATGCTTGATATAAACTATATTATTATATTTACTGTGACCTTCTGGAACAGTTGGAGTGTAAACATCCAAAGTTTGTTATTATATTTTTTAAACTAGGGCCAACTTTGATTGTTCTTGCACAGATTCCCAATCTGAGAGGTGCTATATAAATGTAAATTTGTATTGTATTGTAAAGCTAGATGAAATTAGTACAATGCAGTTTAATATTCTTCATCCAAACATCTCTTCTTATCTAGTAAACTTAAATTTGGTAAGATGTGAAGAAATATGCTGAGAGTGAATAATATTTAGATTTTTTTTGCTATTTCTGCTTTATTTTTGGTGACTTTTCAGAATTCTGCNTTTTTTCAGAAATGTGACGCAGGCTGGTTCAGCACAGATTATGGATCGTGTTTGCCTTGTGAATGTCATGGATATTCAGACAATTGCCTTGATGGTTCAGGAGATTGCATTGTGAGTAACTCTCCCATTATCTCCTCCTGAGGACTGACGTTTATCATGATGTTAGCCTTAAAAACTTTGTTTTAATATTTAAGATCTTGCAGAATTTGGGAAATTTGGGAGTTGATTTTCCGCTGGTTTAAAAAGATCTGAAAAACCCAGCTTTCAGATGAAGATTCAATTCCTAAAATTCTAAATGTGCTTTAATTTTAAGACAATGGTAAAGAGTAAGCAATTCTGTGCCTCTGATGTTGTTAAATACGATTTTAATCATAATGTATTATATCATTGAATGGCTCTCCCTGACTAGGATACAAATTACATATGACTTAGGCATCCAATCCTCTTGACATTGTTCCTGATGAACGAGCAGCGGGAGCTTGTCAGTTATTGCAATGACAATCTCCAGTTAAACTCCAGGAGTACTTCAATTGCCAGCCCATATCTAAACTCTCCAAGATTAAGTAAAAGGGATGAGTTCTTCCAGGAAGAAGATGCAAACTCCATGCCAGTCAAATTGAAACCATACATACAATGCAGCTATGTTATAATGTATTTCACTATCATGTAAATTTGTTAGTAATGTGGTTGTAATGTGGACTCTTGTCAATGTTTATGCAAGTACCCAGCCCATTCACTTCCCATACCCTGGCTGACATTTCATACTAAAATGGCTAACTTCTGGATAATTAGATAGAATTTGATGTCACTTCCAGACTTACAACTGATGTGCAAAGCAGGAGGTGACGTTGTCAGCGACATAATAACTCAGATGTTAGCTATTTTAGCTTCCCATGTTAAACCAACAATGGCTAACTTCCAGGACTTCAGGCTGCCGACAATATCACTTCCTACTTTAATTATGCACAGCAAATAGTAATGATGTTGACAGTGATCTGATCACTTGGATATTGGCCATATTTGATTTTTAGCGCATAATCTGTGAAGAATAGGAAATAAATCAGCTGGCCATGTGCATGAGCAACCAAATCATCCCGTACTATATAGATTTTATAGATTCCCAAACACCATGTTATAACAGTGCTCCACTGTATGTGGAACCCTCATCAGTTTTGCTTAGAGAGATGATGGGTTTCCACATATGTCAGATACCTACTGATCAAAAAATGTCATCCTTTCTACATTGGCATTAAGCCTAGCCAATCAGCCCTAGACCTTTCATCAGCTCTTGCTTTTTTAATTCATACTTTCTGTGGTAATGGGTGACTTGAAAAACTGGACAAAATCAGTTGACAGTAACATCAGATAGATTCACAGGTTCACAAGATTGGTTTGGATGAAGAAGGCTCTTCAGCTCATCTGATCTCATCCCTCCTGAATACCCATCAGTCCATTTTTTAAAAAAATTGTCCATTTTAAAAAGCCCTGTAAAAGCCCCGGTCTTTTACAATCGGATTCTTTTTACCAGTGCGTTTTAATCAAATGGCAATGTTTGTTTCAGATTTTGATTTAAGGTCTGACTGCTTGTAAAACAAGATCTCATCCATCCCTGACTTATTGTTTAATAAAGTTAAGCTATGAGGGTCTCGGTTCACATTTTCATGTTAAGTCAATTTTCCAACTGTCAAACCCAAAGCCAGAATGTGTCAAAACAGATAGGCCCTTGGCCTGGCTCTAACATTTTAAATAAGAACAAAGACATCTGCTAATTTGAGAGTGAATCAGAGCCAGTGACTACAATCAAGCTTTACTGAGGCCCTGAGTTTGGGTGGGCCTGATACTTTGTTTGACCTGACTGCTGAACTTTTACATTGTTAAACATGCCTGTTGTTTATTTAGCAATGTGCTGCTTTCAGCAGGCATATGGTCTGTGTTCTCGCTGCCATAGGCAGCAACACTTGGCCTTTTCAGGCATTCACTGTTAGACTATTTACAAGATTTCATCTCTCCCTGACTTGGTGTTTAATAAGGATGAGTGATCAAGGTCTCAGTTCTTAAGATCTCAAAACCTCCAGGCTAAGTATTGATTTTATTATCGTTTTTCCGCAATCTCCCCCCTTCCCTTACAGCCTCTCTCACCTCCTTTTTTCTCTCTCTTTCGAACCCTCTCTAAATTATTTATTTGATTGGGCTCTTGTCTAACTTAATAAATAAAGCTACTAGTGCCATCTCCTCTCTCTCCCCTCTACACTATCTCCTCTAGTCTCCTTTATTCCTGCAGGCTGACCATGCCCAGCTGATCCCTTCGCGCCTGGTCTCTGCTTGCTCATTTTGCCTGCCTTCCCTGATCTGAGCAGTCCTCTCCCTAATCCCCCAATTCGACTCTCACCCTTAGTTACTCAGTTCACCTCTCTTACTGCCCTCTATGCCTTCTCTCCCTCCTGGACGCTTCCATTACCTCCCTCAGTTCCAGCCTGGACATACTCCACCGGGCTCATTTAAGTACTCGTTGAAGATTGTCCCAGAGCAGCCACCCTGATTCCTCTATTCTCTCCGCAAGGCCTGCCTCCCCTCGTCTCAGGAATTAAACCCCCACTTCCCTCTTCCACATTTACCTACTTACTAAAATATACTAATTTAAAATGAAATAAAATGTTTTAAGAACTATATATTACACTTATTTTTGTTTTCTCCTTTTCTATTAAGCCTATTCTTACTATATTCCTTAGTTAAATTTATTACTTAAGTGCACAGATCTAACTTATATATAAAATGATTATTTATAATTTTAGACTTAGTGGTTCCAAAGCATTTTACCTTTTCGGTACCAGTTGAGAGCTTAAAGACAGACAGGGAAAACTTTTTAAAGTCACATTGCTTAACTTTACTCAAATTCCTGGCAATCAATCATGTAATAAACAAATCCTGTATTTACGATGCATTTGCTAATTTGCTTTTAGTTCCACAAAATACTTTTTGTGCAACTAAAAGGAGAGTTATACTTCTGCCATCAGGAGAATTGCACCGATTAGAGCTGTTCTCATGTTCATATCTGGAGGATAGTGGCCCCTTGACAATAAACACAAGTGATGATTTAGGAGGTCCTGAGAGCAGAACCACATTCTCTTCATGGTCAATCCTGTCGCGAGCATTTTATTGCAGACATTATGTTATGCTCACTGGAAACACTACTGTTATACTTCATGGCAATTCCCCTCATTGATGCAACAAATGAGTAAATCTTGTAACTAACCTGATTCCTATATAGCAGCTATGACTATATTTCACATACGTGTAAACAGTTAATGACAGCATTAGAATTGAATTCTGGCTGTGATACATTTAAAACATTTACTCTCACCTCCTGGGATGTCCTCAAGGCTCCACAGTCTGAATGTTGATTTTTCCTTTTTTTCAGTTTGTTTGCTTTTTTGTGTTTCCTATGGTGCTCTCCAGTCCATACCTTTCACCTCAGTGTTTCTGTCTTGCTTCTGCATAACTGTCTGCCCATTTTGATCTTTTTCATTCCCTGTTTAGTGAATCTGCTAAAGACCCAATGTTAAATTCCTTGTGGGTCCAAGGAGAGAAAGCCCTTCAAGCCCCTCTGCCACCCCCAGCGCCCCTCCACAAGCTGGAATAACCTCATTGTAAACACACATTGTAAAGGTTTCCACAGGAACACTGATTACCAGTTTCGCTCTTTTGTTTCTGCATGAACCCCTCCAATTCAGTTTCCGCCTTGCCCACAGTGCCAAGGCTGCCCTGCTCAAAGTCACCGATGATATTCACTCCATCTCTGACCAGGGCTCTCTTGGCCTCCTCATTCTTCTTGATCTGCCGTCTTCGACATTGTTGATCCGCTATCATTCTCCACCACCTCACCTTTCAGCTCCAACTTCATGGTTCTGGACTTGCCTGGTTTCATTTTTACTTATCCCAACATCTCCATTTTGTATCTGCCAACTGTTTCTCCTCCTACTCCTGCACCTGTCATGTGTGGCATTCCTCAGAACTCCAACAACCCAACCATTCCCTCTGCTCAGAGGGCACCGGCCTGTTGGGCTCTCGCCTAATGCTCCCTAATGCTTGTGTTATCATTTTTAGTGGCCCAATGACTTTGAAACTCCATCACGGAGTCCCTTTGACTCACCTCTTCCCTCCCCCCTTCAAGGTCCACCTCAAGACCTTCCTCTTTGACTGGGCTTTCCACCATCTTTCCTCCCTCCCACCCCCACCCCCTTGGCTCCCACCCCAGTATGGGTGCAAACCTTGGAATGTCCAACACTTTGAAAGATGTTGGCATGAATGGTGCTACATAATGTAAAATTGTATTGTAAAACACTTTCATTGAAGGAGGAGGGGAGAAAGTTAGAATGTGAAAATTAACAGAGGAGGAAAAAACTCTTCTATTACTGTTTATACAAAATGTTCAATTAAAACTCTAAAGTTACCCTATAAATGTTATATGAATTTTCATGGGGATAGCCTCAGAATTAGAAAATTGTTTGCCCATATTTATTCCTATCAGCTCTTTCAATAATCTACATATAGAATATGCTGCGAAAGCCTTTGCAGAACTGATTCCTGAGAGTTTAGAATTCTCTTGTCATTGGTCTTCATGCACACATCTGCTTTCTCCTGGTGATGTGCACACATGTGTTCTGTTCTACACCCTACTTCTGTGCCGAATCAGCTCAGCTGTGTACATACTATGTGTTAGATGACATTTTCCTGTCATGAGAGAAATAAAGCACACATACTTTTGTATTTGTCATTACAAGATAAGGTTCTCCTATTGAGATTTTGGCTTATTTAAAGGATATACATTTGCTGCAGACAGTCTCAAAAGGCAACTCTATCTTGACAAAGCATCGCATTTGTGTGGAACAATGCATTAATTGATTGGAAATGTTGTCCTGTAGTCCTTTGAAGGCTGATAGGACAATAGAAAACTATTCAAAATTACTCGCTTGACAAGATAAAATGATGTTCATCGTGTGAAGTATGTTTGAGTAGATGAGGTATCCGGATTTATAACATACCAGCTGGACCCACCTGTTGCAGCTTCGCTTGGAACCAAATAATGATCAAATAATGACCAAAGGATCCAATATGGAATGTAGATTGACACACAGACAGACGTTGTCTTCATTAATATTGATAGATTATAATTATATAAAATGATATACATAAGGGAAGAGAGAGGGGGAGGGGCTAAACTCCAAAGGGGAGGGGCTAGACTGCAGCCCCAGGTGAAGCCCCAACTTGAGCCCCAGGCTTCACCGTCCCAGGCTGGTCGCCCCTAGGCCATGGAGGAAGCCCCGTGACCTTACTGAGCCAAACATCACCCACTACCGGCTCAAGTCTGACAGCCTGGGGCCATCCAAGAGCAGAGAAAAAGTAGCCGAATGGCGGCCATCTACGTCGCTTGAGGCAACTTCCATCTCATCGCCACCAGACTTCATCTGAGTGCGTGCTTAATGCATGCTCTGTGACAAATGATGCCACGGCACCACTGTGAGTCGGTGCAACTACTAGGTGTGACTGCAGCGCAAAACTGCCATACATGAGTGATGAGCTTGTTTAGGTCATAGCTCATCAACAATAGGATATCCCCGAGAACAAATATGCCCATGTCATTCCTCGATGCAAGACCTTTACAATGATTAGGTATAAATCGTCTCTACATCGATTGAGATTGACATAGATCTTGGTTATTGAAATCTGATACACACACATACACACAGACACTGCCGTTTTATTAGTATAGAAGATTAAAGAAGGTAGGTTTAGAGAGAATAATGAGGAACAGGTGATTTTTCAATGCCCTCGAATCACTGGAAGGCTTGAATTCAGAAGGATAATTCATTGTGTCTAAAACTCTGCTCGTGTTTAGTAGCCCCAATGGTTCATGCACTTCACGCTGGAGTTAAATTAACCGTGATTCGGAATTTATATTGGTCTCAAAATAAAGCAGCTCTTAGGAATTATAGGCAGTGCTAGCCCATTTCATTTATGAAGCATCCAAAGATTAACTAAGTGATGGTTAGGTAACTCTGCCGACACTTTGTAGATCTGTTTATATGACATAATTTTTTAGTTGAAACGTTACTGCAATAAATCCATTCTACATTGACATTATAGAACGGGTAAGGCAGAGATTTGCTGGAATGATAACAAAACTGAGACATTATAGTTATGTGGAGAAGTTTTCAAAACCATGAGGTTTTGATACAAAAATAAGACTATTTCCACTGATCAGTGATTCAGTCAGTTCCCACTGCTGTATTATCCAAGAGAAATTAGTTGGCTCAGTATAGAGCAATCCTTGTCCAGATGTGGCATATGATACTGTGCAGTTACCCATTGCTCCATTGAGGGAATCAATTTGGTTTATTTTTTCACTTACTTAATTGAGTGTGATATAAGAAACAGCATTGCAATCATACTTGCAAACTATCAAATTGTTTTGCTTTGTAGCTCACCAAAGCTCGGAAATAATTCTCCATTAATGAACAGAAAATTCCAACCCTGATCTGGGATTACTTTAAACCAGGGTAATTTTAAACCAATGCTTAGAGTGAAGCATTTACCTGAAAAGGTTTGCATAAGCACTGAAATTATGAACCTTAGATAGTGTTTCATAATGAAGAGAAACTACAGATTTATCCTGTTGTTTGTTTAAAATGTTGTTTTCAACTAGGTTGCAAATACTGATTTCCCTCGTGCTGCTTAGAATGCAGGAAATTAAGCAGAAATAAAGTCATTAGCTTCCAATCTATCTCTATTACAACATTGATAGCCTGTAGGAATGTGGGTTTGATTTGCATCAGACCAGTCCTTCTCAAAAATGGGTCTTTTGAGTAACTGTAGGCACAATTCCAGACCTTGAACTGCTTCAGAATGATACTGGAGCTCCAAACCGGGCATTCACAAAGGGGTTCTATGTAAGTCTGCTCAATGATCATAGAACAAAATAGCAACAAAAAATAATGTTGCAAAAGACAATCCAGCTTTTTGTACTTCGCTTTGATTTTGAAAAACAGCCTTACTTCAATTAATTTATTCTCACTTATGGGTTGAAATTCTCCCTGGGTGTAGATTTACTCTAAATATCAGAGGCGGGAGTGTCCATCCCCAAACCTGCTGTTTCACAGGCTGAATGGTTTCCTCATGTTCCAAACTGAATTATTTGTCCAAATGATAACCACCTCTTATAATGATCATATAGTACTGCCATGTCCCCCTAGCCCCATTTCTATTTTCATAATTCACATCTAATATAAGCACAGAGTGAAACAAAACAACAAATTATACTTATTATTATACTTGTATAGCGCCTTTCATGTCATAAAGACGTCCCAGGAGGCTGGACAGTCAGGGGTTTCTGGACCCGAGATGGGTTCAGGAGGGGTGGAGTGCAGGAGCGGAGCGGTGGACAGGGGCGGGATGGTGGGCAGTGGGTGATGGTGGGGACCCTGCAAGACTTCAATTAATACAGCAACAGTTTCAGGCAGGTGAAGAACATTGATCCATCTAGCCTACCATCCAATTACCCAAAGGATTGTTTTGGCATAACAATCTTAATAATCTAATAAATTGTCTTGTTCCTATTTCATACTTTTTTTTAGTTCCTTATTCCACCATCTTGTTTCACATACCTAGCACCCTTTCATGAAGAAAACTTCTGCACTGTCAAATCGCTTTTGTAGTCCTCATTTTGGAGCTTAGGGCGATCATCTTCCATTTAGATATTCTTGTTATATGAATCTGTGCAAGAGAAGTAAACTGCCTGCCATTTCATCCTAATCACATTCTGAGGTTTCTGAAATTCCATGCATACTGAAGTGCATTGCTAGCAGAAGGGCAAAAATTACAGCAAAGGCCACTTGCTGAACAACACCCCATTGATTTCAATAGAGTGTCTGTGAAGATCCTGTCACTGTGCAATGCAACAGATCTTTGTTTGTGACTACTTTAAAGGCTGCTGCTGAAAAATGTAACTCCTTTTTTATTTATAAATCAATGATTTGAAATAACTAGGAGAGTCTTACAGTTTCTCCGGCGATTAATATTTGAATCCTAGATGTTATTTTATCCTATGGGGCATTCGGAATTGAGTCAGATGATTATGTGCACTCTGTAAAATCACATATCAAACTTCAAGTGCTGCACATGATAAATCATAGGATTGAATCAAGAAGTTAAATGAGTCAGAGATTAAGATGCCCTGTTAAGATCCCTTGCAAGAAAAATCATTAAAAAAAATTAAAAGTAACACGATTCCATAGATGAGATGTGGACAGATGCAAACCTTGCCAGTTTAAGATCGTGATAGTGAACTATGAATCTTGTTTTAATTAAAACAAGCACACAAGAATTATATCACGTTATTTGGGTCATTAATCGGGCAAGATTTTGAGATAAAGAACATTATACCCATTAAAAAAAAAGGTTAACACCCCGTTTTAGGAATAGTTTGTTCACCATTGTACCAACAACTAGATTGCATGATTTACCCAGGACAGCATTGTGTTGAAAATTACCCAAGATTTTAAAAAATTCTGTCTCTTTTCCCACTGCAAGTAATAAAGAATTAGTAAATTGCTTGTCAAGAAAACAATAAATATTGGAAAGGGGGGAGTGGGGGAAATAGATTTCACTGCTAATTGGAACTCAGTTGCAATATTTTGCCTTTTAAATGATAGAAACTAAATAATACATTGCTTTGTATTACAGGATTGTCAGGATAATACAACAGGGAAGCAATGTGAAAGATGTCTTGATGGATATATCGGTGATGTCATTGAAGATCATTTAGTTTCTTGCCAACCATGTCCTTGTCCTCTAACGCTACCCACAAACAAGTAGGTTGGGAGGAAGACATTTCTATCATGCTATAACACTGCATTTTTGCTTGATGTATCAGAATATAGTATTGGACACAGTAAAGTGTTTGAGGAGAGTTACCTTAAAGCTTATCATGAAATGGTCAAACATAAATGTTGATGTGGCTAGGACGATACTTTTCCTATCGTCTATCCTCCTGAAAAATGTGTTGAGGTATGTCTGAGGTGATCAAAAGATTTAGAAGACGAACTTATAGGTTCTTGTTTCAACAATCTGGTATTAGGGCAAGAAAAAACACAATGGTCATATGGTCTTCTCAAACTGTACTAAGGTAACACTGAATGAACTTTGTCTCATTCTACCACGTTTATGTGCTATCCTTTATACTTATACTGTTGCTAAGTAAATTCAGTTCACAAAAAGATGAGTTTCAATTTTAAAGTACATCCATCTGTAGCAAAATTGGCACAAAACGATCCAAAAGTATTACAGAGCTACTTTGGGATTGTTTTGCAGAAAACAATTGACTTTTGAAGTGCTTATTGTACCTCTGAAATTTAAATAATGTCATTTCAATGCGAATATTATCACATTGTTTGCTTAACGTGACACAGAAGAATTATCTCCTCACCCACTTAGTTTAATAAAATAGTTGATGTGGATATCTAGGTTGATAAACACAGCTGTTCAACATAAGATTAATAAACCTAGCTGAATGTTGACTATTGTAAGTGGAAAATAGCTATAATGGGAAAAAAACACATTAAAAAATTCAGTGAACAGGAAATCATTGTATACAATTTCTGTTTTCTTTCTTTGCCCAGTTTTGCTATTTCCTGCATGAAGAAAGCCAACAGATTACGCTGTATTTGCCAGGAAAATTATGCTGGGCCCAGCTGTGAAAGGTCAGGGTTTTCCTTGTTGCTTCCTATTTCAAACTGCTCATAATTGTTAAACTGTTTAATATGTGTGGGAGCTTCAGCACTTACTGAATCTCAATGGCACTGGATTGTGTAGAGATATAGCACCACTACCACTGACTCTGGACAGTGAATCCTGTTATAACCTAGATGATATTTTAATCCAACAAATTTGTTTTGGTTCAAATACCCAGTCAATAAGGCTCTAACAGTGACTGGAGAATGTGGATCTGAATAGCTAATCAAATAAATAGGTCAAACTTTCCAGTGTTTATTATTATTAATATTTTAATGAAGAATCTGGACGCAGGTTTAAGCCTTATAATGCAGTTTCCCCTAATTCACAGGGAGAATTAGATACTTTTTTTTTCTCTCCTTCATTGCACAGAATTAGCTGTAAATAATAAAATTTCTAGTGTGTGGTTTCAGTAGCCCTAACTAATATTTCACTACAGTCACTTCAGTGTATATCTTGTATGTCACCATAGCAGATCCTTTGATTATCCTGAAATATCTCATTGTTGTACTGGAGATCTCACGTCACTATTCTCTGTGGAGAATACATCCACAATATGTGTCACCTTTCTGAGTATCTTATCAGATGTCCAGGTACATGTCTTGATTTTGATTGTGGAAAATAGCCAGTTATTTAAACTGTATTGTCCTCCATTTGCTCCTTCATTACAGTTATGACAAACGAAACCTAAAATTATCTCTATAATCTGGTGTAACATCAATCTTTTTTACCTCTAAACCTATTCTCCTTCTCCATCCCAATGTACCTTTCTCTATTGTATTATCTGTGAGATTGTTGCTCCACTGAATTTTCCTCTCCTGTTCCTCAAAGATGTAACCATCCCATTCTACATGCTCAGTCTCATCACTACATTGAACATGCTTAAATGGATACACATACCTGTACAGGGTACGTGTATCCATTTCAAACACATTTTTAATGAAGAATCTGGATGAAGGGTTAAACCTCTATAATGCAGTTTGCCCAAAATTGACACTGGTTATTGAAATCCAAATTTCCCTAAACTCCTCCTATTCTTACGTTCTGGTCCTGGACCACACAATACTGTGAAACTCAGTCAGTCTTCAATTCTTCCAATTTGCAGGCTTTTAAGCTCAGGCTTGAAACCCACAGGCTGCCGAAACCCTCATACACGCCTTCATTACATTGAGGCTCGACTATGAAAACTCATTGCTTGTCGGCCTCCCCAACTCCTCCCTCCACATGTTGCAGATCATCCAGAACTCTGCACCCCATGTCCTCTCCCGCACCAGGCTCCGCGACCCTATCACCCCCATCCTTGCCCAACTCCACTGGCTTCCCATCACACAGAAGATACAATTCAAGATCCTGGTCCTCATCTTCAAAGCCCTCCACAGTCTTGCTTCCCCCTACCTCTCTGACCTCTGTTCAGCGGGCCCCGGCCTGCTTCACGGCCCCCGCCTTGCTGGCCCCACTATTGGCAGGCGGGCCTTCTGCCACTCTGCACCCACCCTCTCGAATTCCATCCCGCAGTCCCTCCATCTCGCCCCCTCCCTCACCACATCTCAAGACCTCCTCTTCAACCCTGCTTTCGATCTCCCTGCTTCTCCCCCTGCCCTCCCCACTTCCCCACCCTCAGCTCGGGTCCATAACTCTGTCTGTCTAGTGCCTTGGGACATTCTCCCGATGTGAAAGGTGCTATACAAATGTAATTTTGTTGTTGTTGTTGTTGAAGTGATCTGATTATATTATGGTCTGATTTTATCTCATCTTCTTTCAACTGTTTTCAATTTGGTTTGTGGCCTGCAGTGTGGATATTTGCTCTTCACATAAGTTTTCCAATAAAAGACACATTATCATGGGAGTGTAGAGGGCTTTACCAGGGTTAAATCACTACTGAGGCTAACCGGGGAGAACCTTACTCTAGCTTTGGGTAGAAAATGAGAAAATATTCAATTTTTTAATACTCACTTTAATGACACTGAAGGGATTTTTTGTTTTAATTACCTCAATAGCTTTTTCTCCCAAATTTACATTCAACAAAGCTCCTGATCAGATTTTAAAAAATCATTCATGCTTTCTTCCAGATGTGCACCTGGGTACTATGGAAACCCCTTGCTAATAGGAAGCTTTTGCAAGAAGTGTAACTGCAATGGTAATTCTGATCCCAACTTGATCTTTGATGACTGTGATGAAATAACTGGCAATTGTCACAATTGTCTGCGGAATACAACAGGTATCCACTGTGAACGCTGTGCTCCAGGATACTTTGGAGATGCCGTTGTTGCCAAAAACTGTACAGGTATGTGTACCCATTTAAACAAGTGTTCAGTGGCTGTACTAACACATACCACTTCATGGCTCCTGAATATAGTCTTATATAAAGGATGCAGTCTGCTGTATTAAGATGTCCAGCAAAATAAAACTTGTTTTTAAACAAATAGATTTATTCCCATTAACATTTTCGCCACATTGAACCGATCTATTTAGAGATGAAGCTTCTTAGTGACATCTGAGTTAAGTACACGTGCACAACATTCCTGGTTAGTCACGTTAATTTACTTTTGCTTCTTGTCTAATTTGTCCTAAAATTGATATGTTGATTCTAAGAAGTAGACAGTACAGTGCCTTGATCTAGACTTAAGATCAAACAGCTTAGAGCCTATCCAGAAGTATAACCATTATGAAAATCCAAAGACTAGCAATAAGCTCAAATTGGACTGTGGAACTTTGGTTCTGAAGAACACTTTCGCAAATGATAAATGTAATTTTAAGTACAATTGCATAGCTTTCCCTCAACACGCTGTGCAGAAGAGGATCTTTGGGGATTATACCTATTAACTCAGTCCTCAAATAATTCCTGTGAGATCACTTGCTTCACCAATTAAATTATTGTGGGATTCGGACCTTTTACCTTAGTTCTAATGAAAGATAAGAGTTTTGAAATGCCTGGTAATAGTTCAATTTTGAACAGGTGAGATGTGAACCAGTCCACCAATAAGCTGCATTGCAACTGGGTGGCTGAGCCATCAGTTCCAGGCACTTGGTCAACTCATTAAAAATTGTAAAACTTTTTTTGGATTAAAAATTTTCTTTTTTTTTAAAAGACTGTCTCTGTGAGAAATGTGGGACGGACGAGTGTGATCACCAGTCTGGGCACTGTCGCTGTAAGCCTGGAGTTACGGGAACTTTATGTGACCACTGTGAGGTGAGGTGACAAGGAATGTTTTTGACATATTGGTGTGGGAATAGAGAATATTTGACATTGACTTTGAAAGAGGAGGCACTGCCATTTAAGGTCAACAACAGCAAACAACAAATTGTATTTATATGGCCTTTTTCATGTCAGGAGGATATCCCAAAGCACTAGTCAGTTGAGGGTTTGCACTCGAGTTGGAGGTAGGATTTGGAAGGAGTGGGTGCCTGGGGGGGGTGGAGGTGGGGAAAGGAAAAATGACCGAAGGTGCAGTCAAAGAGAAAGGTCTTGAAATGGACCTTGAAGCAGGTGAGGGAGCCAAAGGAACTCCTGGATGGAGTTCCAGAGAGTAGGCGCAGATAGGCTGACTGTCCCACCTTGGCGGTCAAGGGAGGCGGAATGTGAAGCAGGCCATTATGTGCCAATCAGAGCTCGAGAGCATTTTAACCTTTTAAGAAAAGAAAAGCTTGGAAGCTTGTTGCCATCACAAACTCAGCTGTCACCACAGACAAGGAACGAGATGGTGACTGGCAGGTTTGTAACTGTACACCTGTTGAAGAAAAAACACAGAGATGGGAGAAAATTGGAAGAGAGAGAGAGAAAAAAGAATGATATTATGGGGCTGGAAATGTTGCACAGAAAATTGGTACTACCTGGTCGTTTATGCGGTGCGTTAAACACTAGTGAAATTTCTGGCCTCTCTGTAACTAAAGATATTGAACCCAACGTTGATGCCTTTGCCCAGCAAATCAAGTGGTTAGCTATCCGGCAGTTTATAGATGAAGAAAATTGGAAAATATCTCACAAAAATGTAAGACTAATTTAAAAATGCCAGTTTAGTTTTAATGGTAAAGTTAGTGGCTTGCACCATTATTTTGATTTAGTTTGCCTTTTATTGTTTCCCTTGCAGGTTGGATACTATGGATACAGCAGTTGTTCTGGTTGTCTTCAATGTGAGTGCACTGAAGCTTCTCTGGGTAATTACTGTGACCCATTGAGTGGACAGTGTAGGTGCCTACCAGGAGCCACAGGAAGGCTTTGTGAACGATGCCTCTACGGATTCTGGAATTACGGATCAAATGGCTGCCAGAGTAAGTTCATTTTGCGAGGGGGAAAAACTTTAGTGGAAAGAAAAATAGAAGTTGGAGCCCAAGAATTCATGCTCTCCTTGGGTGATAAATGACCTTTAGTGATCAAGCAAGCCTCTGGGCAAAAGGTTAATGTTTGGCCTAGGACAATGCGGATTTTGGTCCTTTGAGACAGACCTACCCTGGGAAAGCAATATTAAACAAAAAAAGAACATAAAGAATCTCATTTGCAAGGTCCTTCTCAAGATGTACCTCTTTAACCTTGAGAGAAACAGACCACCTACTCAGAGAGATACAACACCTACCTTAACATACATTAAACTTTTAAGAGCAACTTCAAGGAATACTGTAAATTGAATTCCATAGTTTCTTGGCTCCTTATATTTAGTCTTAGCACATCCGGGCTAGATTTGAAGGCTATAACTTACATCTGTGCTGTGGCTGCCAGTGTTTGTTGGACACTGCTGTGTGCAATTGTCTGCTGCGTTTCGCCCACAAATATACAGTTAATTCACTTTACAGTGTATTCTGTGAAGCGCTATGAGATGTCTAGAAGACGTGAAAAGCCCTATATCAAATGCAAGGTTTATTATTATTATTACAGACCTCAATTGTTGTTTTGCGATTAGTAAGATTTTGTTTTTGTTTCTGATATTTCCTGTCTGTTTAGGCTGCACTGTACGTGCCTGAAATTTATATTGGTAATATTGCGTCAATAAACAGGAAAGCTAGAGTTTTAACAGTGGGCAGAGAACAAAAGGCCATGTCAAAATGTTTTTTTAAATAAGATTTAATACTAAATCTTGGGAAATGGGAGGAAATGAAACTGTTACACTGACGTTTCATCCTGGGAAAACAGTTTAAAAGAAAAACAAGAGAAGCAGCTTAAGAGTAAGTATACTTTCAGTCAAAGGATCAAACCAGCCAAAGGCATAGCAGATGTGGGCTGATGCTCTGTTGACAGTAATCTAATGTTAAGACATAGTAATGTGCCTGGCTGTGCCACAGCATCAGCTTCATAGATGTTAGCCTGGTTCAGTTGGTAGTACTCTTACCTCAAGGTCAGAAGATTGTAGGCCACTATGCTCTGAAACGCTGGAACTCCCTGCCTCAATCCCTCCATCTTGCCCCCTCTTTGCCCATCTTCAAATCACTTTCCCCTTTAACCTTGCCTTCGGATACCTCCCTTCTCTTTCCAGCTTGGAGTCAAACTATCCTGCTGTTAAATGCTCTAAGACGCTAATAATCCTTGGATTTGATATAGCGTCTTAATTGTCTTTGAGATGTCTCAAAGCACTTCATAGAATAAACTAGAAAAGTGAATTGACTGTATATATTGTGGGCGAAACTCGGCAGCCAATTGCACACAGCAGTGTCCTACAAACAGTCGTGGATTGAAGTGACCAATTTATTATTTTTTTTAAGGAATTATTAGCCCTGGACAAGCAATCCGCCAATTGACTAACAACCGGGTTCCTACTTACTGCTAGGTAAACAGAGACATGTGAAGTTAGGAAATTTGCCCAACATATCGCCCTGCCGGGAATCGAACCCAGGTCTCTCACTTGCAAGGGGAGTGCTCTAAACATTGAGCTACAGGACTCCACAAGTTGTAACACCACAGCTGTAATAATGATCCTCCCTTCAAGTTCTATATCTAAGAGAAATAGTTTTGTTAAGTTACAGAACATCTTGTTATGTAGGAGCCCTGAAGCTCAGTGGTTAGAGCACTCGCTTTGCAAGTGAGAGACCTGGGCTTGATTCCCGGCAGGCTGAAACCTTGGGCAAGTTTCCTTACTCCACACCCCTGATAATAATCCCTCAACAAAAAAAGCAATAATAAATTGGTCACTTCAATCCACGACAGTCAATTCACTTTACAGCATATTCTGTGAAGCGCTTTGAGATGTCTAGAAGACGTGAAAAGCGCTATATCAAATGCAAGGATTATTATTATTATTATTATTTTCCTCTGCAGGATGTCAATGTGAAGGACATTGTGACAGTGTGACAGGACAGTGCTTGGCAGGGCCTACAGAAGCCCCAACCAACTGCTCGGTTGTTAGTAAGTACTTCCTTGATCTCGCCATTTGATGATTATCTCATTTGGTCTATTGAACCCTTCCCTGTGTTTCCCCGTGTTTTATAACGAGAAATAAAACATTACACTCACTGTATAATCTTGACAGCACTCGATGGTGTGGCTGGAATTGTAATTTAGCAGTCCAGACAGTAATCTGGTTGTGAAAAGCACACACTCCTCATTCGGTCCCCAACAATCTAATCAGAATATGGAAACTTACTTAATGTAGCCAATGTCTATAATGTTGCCAGTGAGCCTGTCTCATAATGTATAAGTGATTTAAGATAAAAATGGAACAGCCGTGGTTGAGTTTAGTAACACAATAGAGCATGTCAATACTTGAACAATTGAATGCAATGTCTAATGGGTTCAGCGGAAGTGCTTGAAAAGAAGTGATCAGAGTTGTCCCTGATGTTTCTGCAAAAAGTCAAGTTTATTACAGTACTATATTTATGAAAAAGTACCAGTCCTACTGACTAATCCCATTGACATGTTTTATTGTTGGCATACAACATGCAATTTATTCTTCAACTTCCAGATAACTGCTCACTCATCCAGACACACTCAGATTGGGTTTCCTGAAAGGTATCTTTGTTCAGCAGTCTGCTGCCTTTGTTTGATGGATGTAAACCTCAGGCTGAATGGCTCAATCAGTTTTATTGCTCTTTTCATCCACATAACATTAGCTCCATATCCCAGCTGTAATAAGCATGCCAGCCATAAAAAAGTCAACTTAATCTTGTAAAAATCCAATTAATTTGGTGCATACTGTTTATATAAGGCACAGAACAACAAATCGCTGGAGGTGCTATTTGAGTCTGATTAAATGTCAAGGATTATTGCTAAAAATCATTACCCACTTTTGCTGCAAGGTTCATGACATTATCAGGACTTCTCAAATTAATTAAAGCCTTGTAGATCATTAGCAATCACCTTAAATACAGTACACCATGCAATTAACTGATATTATTTCTAGCTCTTTGAGGGGCTCAAGATTTCCAATCTCTAGATATTTTCCCTTCCTTCAAAGGTAAGGGATTAAATGCTCAATTCAAATGGTCTCAAAATCTTTTTTTTAAATTTAGAGTTGCAATTCTGTAAAGTATCTATCAAAGATTCTTTTTTTGATTGTGAAAAGTAAGCCATAAGAATCATGTCTTTTTGAAAACAATAGAGTACAATGTGATAATTGCTCCCATGCCATATTCTTCACCCCAAATTTTTAATTCCTGTATATTATATTCTTATGTCTAACTAATGATTGGCTTTCTTATCTGAACAGAGTGTGACAAGTGCATCTGGGACTTACTGGAGGACTTGGAATTGACAGGATCTTCACTGGAAGAAGTCAAGTCTAATATTTTAAGTGTTATTACTGGTGAAGCCATGAGTGACGATTTAGATGAGTTCAATATCACATTGGACTTCTTTACTGTGAGTAATATCAACTTCCAGCTATAGCCAAGTAAGGCTTGGATCTGGGTAGATTGATAATAAAAGATTAATTGTTATTGGGAGGGAAGAACTCTTACGCTGTGATTTTTTGGAAAGTAAATTAATTAACTGACTAGGAAATTAACAATGTAAGGGTGAAAATTATAAATTGTACAAATTAGGATACAATAAAATACAATTTACATTTTTATAGCACCTTTCATGTCAGGAGGATGTCTCAAAACACTTCACAGCACTGGTGGGCAGTCGAGCTGATGGTGTAAGCTTGGGGTGGGGTGAAAGATGACCAAAAATGCAATCAAAGAGATATATTTTAATGTACATATGCCTTGAAAGAGGGGAAGAAGTGAGGCAGGGGAACTCCAGGATAGAGTTCCAGAGAGTGAGGGATGGTTAAAACATAGTGCTCAGACACACTGAGCTTCAGACTATCCAACCACTTTCTTCTTTCGAAGAGATGGTAACAATCAAATAGTTTTCAATAATAATAACAAAGATAAGAATATTGTTTCTGACCTTTGTACTTTGTTCTTTGTTACAATACAGGACAAGCTTGCAGAGATGGAAAGACAGTCATCGTTGCAGATTCTCAATATAGACAGTATTAAACAAGCTACAATGAACCTTATTTCCAATCTTGACTTACTATCTGAAAAGGTGCACTTCTTTACAATTGTCTTTACTTAATTTCTATGTAAAGATACCACTTATAAAGTGTGTGCATTGGGACTGCCAGATGAATGTATGATGTATGATAGGCTTGCAAAATAGCCGAGACTCATAGCACTGTGATTTTTACATTCCCATAGAAAAAAATTAACTTGTGGGGAACTATACACAGAAGAAACAAGCCAAGTATATTGATTAGGATGGTTACTTCAAAGCTGAATTTATACTGCAAACTTATTGGAAAAAACAACTACCAACAGTATCATCTAGGATAGGCAGAATGTTGAATTATGTTTAGTGTTTAGGAGCAGCAACAACTTGTATTTGCATTATCATCTTTCATGTAGGATAATGTCTCAAAGTGCTTTAGAAATTAATAATAATCCTTGCATTTGATATAGTGCCTTATCATATTTGAAGACATCTCATAGTGTTTCACAGAAAATACTGTAAAGTAAATTGTGGAGTCCTGTAGCTCAGTAGTTAGAGCACTTGCCCTGCAAGTGGGTTTGATTCCCGGCAGGGCAAAATGTTGAGCAAGTTTCTTTACTCCACATGCCTCTATTTACCAAGCAGTAAGTAGGAACCTGGTTATTAGTTGATTGACAGATCACTTTTACGGGGGTAATAATTCCTTTTTTTAAAAAATTGATCACTCTATCTACGACTGTTTGTGGGACACTGATGTGTTGCAATTGGTTGCCGCATTACAGCCACAAAATATAGTCAATTCACTTTACAATATATTTTGTGAAGCACTTTGTGACATCTCAAAAACATGATAAGGCACTATATCAAATGCAGGGACTTTTTCCTTTATTTTGTGGGAAAAATATATTTTGAACTGGAGTCATTAATAAGTGTATCATCAATAAATGTTTAAACAAAACAATAGTTACAAGTATTCTCAATGGACATTGTTCAATTTAGCTCATATCAATAAATTAGTGATTTGTTTGCAGTATTCAAAATAATGAAAGAAAGAGACTTGAGTAGTGGATGTATCAATGGGTGCAGTAAAAGGATGGGTCATGGGGATTAAAGAATCTACTTTTCGGCTCATATAAAACAAATTCATTAATATCAATCTGATTTTTGATGTTTTAGAATAATATAACCAGTTCAATGATGCAGATTTTAGACAAGGAAACGTTGGAAACAAGTGACCATGCTAACCAGTTAAGTGGACAGATTGCTACCATTGCCAGCTCCATTCAAGGTAATGTTACAGTGTCAGGCGTATGATAATAAAATGCATATTCAAGTGAACCTGCCAAACTGGAGTGAGCATGATTGTTTTGTCAATCTATGAGTATGGCTGTCTGTGATAGTATGGCTGTCTGTGAGCATGTGTGGATGTGCTTCGTAATGTGTGATTGCAAAGAGAGAGAGCACTTCCCAGAGAGTGTCATGTGTTTATGAGGTATCTTCCTCTAGCTTCTGCCATAGTGATATGCCTTAATTGGTGACTCAAGTTCGAGCCACATAAGCAAAAGTTAACATTTGTGTCTAAATATTATTATTTCATTTAAAAATGAGACAGATTATTGGACAATACATCATGGTAGCATAAGCTAGTTAGCAATTTCAGAAAATATAGAGCTGACCCTGTTGTTCTTTGTTATTAAGTCCTGAAGCCGTGACACACATGACATCAGTGAGCGTTTAAAAAATATCTCATTCTACTTTGCAGACATTATTGTAGGCTTCGATAAGTATGGACAAACAGCAGAACTTTCTCCTGAGGAAATCAACAAAAGCTTTATACGAGTGGCCGATATGTTGGATGAGATGAGAGCCCGCAACTTCTCTGAGCAGAAGCCAATAGCAGAGGAAGAAAAAGATGAAGCCCAGAGATGTAGGTTTTACCCAAACACTTTAATTAACTTCTTTATGTATTGCATACAAACAAATGTTTGGAAACAAAGTGATGCAATGGATATATGAGTTACTCAATTACTTTGTAACTCTCTGTAGGATATTTCTGTGTTCAAATTGACTGCTGCATTTGCCTACAAATACGCAGTCATGGCACTTTATAGCAATCACATGTGAAGTGCTTTGAGTCTTTTTGTCATAGATGCTTTATCAAAAATGAAATGCATGCACCTTTTCAACTTCCTGCTCCAAAACGCGTGGGAAAAAATACTCTCCCATCCCTGAAAATAGCAAGAAATACCTACACGTCTTTCCAGATGTTTGAGCCCAGCCTTACTTTATCTATCTCTTCGTTGTGATGTTCATGCTGCAAATTGTAATTTATTATGGCATTGTGCCAAGCCTAAGCATTAGTCAGTGGTGCCTAGCGTAGGGTCCTATCAACAAACAAATGTTAAGAAATCAATTACATTTAATTTCCGATGTCCTTCCTCCTGAACACAGAGAGGAAATGGGACACATTGCACCAGATGTTTAAAAGACCATCATCCTTCCTTCAATGTGGCTAATGACATAAGGAAGAGAAGGGAAGTAGTCCTAAAGTGCCTGATAGCTTTGTCTATCTATGTCAGAGTCAATCATAATCCTGGCCGATAGAAACCAGATTAATTAACTCATGGTTATTTGTCGGATTCCATTGGTGAAAATAGCCTTTGTATTTGCCTACAAGAACAGTCAATGCATTTGAGATTAAAGGCTTTTCAAAACATTTCAGGATAAACTATTATACAAATATAAATTCTCTTTCTTTTTTCTTTCTCAGTTTTAATTTTAGTTGTAGTTGTGGTATAGAGACTTCAATGTGGCCAATCTGGGCTCTTTGTATACCAATGAACAGGCAAGGAGAGAGCGTCAATGCAAAATCAATCATTTGCATTGTCCATAGTGGTAAGCAGTTAATCGTGGTGCATCAGAAAAATCCCACATGAATGGGAAATTTTTATTTATAATATATGGAACTCCATTGATTTAAAATATTGCAATGAATAGTAATGCTGATGCAGCATAGTGATATGAAATAGTAGTGCTAAAACGATCCAGCTCATTTATTGTTTGCTGTAAAATCACACAAAAAGCTGCCACATTTATCACAAACTCAGCCAAGATCATTTGTAATCTCCCAAAAGAATAGCTGAGTGCTGGCTAAAATTCTAGTACCGCAGGCATGAGGAGACATACCTCAGCTTGGAAGCTATATACAGCATAGCCCTGGGGAAACCGGATCTTTTACCTCTTAGTAAAGAATTGCAATAATTTCTCAGAGCTTTAACTTTAAATCCATTAGCAAGGAAGATGCACCTTCAGAATGATGAAAGTAAAATCTCTGTGGTTTGCTGCGATCGAGGAATTTGTCAACAATTGCAACCTTGCTGATCAGTTTTTACATCCTGTCAGCAAATCCTAAAAGTTCTCAACAGCAAATCAATACCCACCTTATTTTATTTTGAATTTTGTAAGCTGCTTCTGGCAGGTCATTTGCTGTGCACAAATTGGCTGTTACATTCACCTAGAAATACAGTAATTATACTTAACAGTAAACACAATGGAAAGTTTAAAACGTTTCAATGATATCATAAAGTGCTGTATGAAATGCAATTATTGTTATCATTAAATTCCATCCTCGCTATAGCCAAGCAAAGTGAGAGTTTGTGTTCAAGACACAGAAGATAGTGGAAGATAGGTGTTGCCAAGAAAGACATAGAAAAGGTAGCACAGTTTGCAGGTTATTCTAGATCAAATGGAATACATTTTAAGGGTGTGAGTAATGCCATGTTTAAATGTCAATTGCATTTACTAATTGGTCATGACCGAAAACAAAAGACAGCTTGTGTCACAGTGGATACTTCAAACCTTCACTCATAGGAGACCCAATCAATAGATCGACAGCTCCAAAGTACATCCGGAAATGACATTGAATATTTGATTTTTTCTTTAGTGCTGGAACGAGTACTTGCCCTTCAGAATGTATTGAATGAAAGTATTAACTCGGTCATTGAAATACAAGACAACATCGATGTGTACAATATCAAGCTCTCAGACCTGAAACAGGCACTAGAGGATGCGATCAAGAGTGTGCAACAGACAGAGGAGAAAAATGAAAAACATGTTGCTGGATATCAAAGAAAAGAGGTGAACTCGATATAATTAAACTTTCAGTCCAGGATTTGTGCAGGTTGCTGAGGGAATATAAGCAATTAAATCATGTCTACTATTTTACAGAAAGAAAATGTGGTATTTTCTTCCCGTATGAAACTGACCACCTGCTCCCTCAACCCCATCCCTACCCCTCTCCTTACCTCCCAGCTCCACCTCCTTGCCCCTCTATGTGAGTAGACATCATAAACCTCTCCCCGACCACAAGTACTGTTCCCACCCCGTTAAAAAACCATCGTCATCACTCCTATCCTTAAAAAACCTTCCCTGGACCCATCACTGCTCTCAAACTACTGCCCCATCTCCAACCTCCCTTTCCTTTCCAAGGTCCTGGAATGAGTCATTGCTTCCCAGCTTCACTCCTTCCTCTCCCGCCACTTCCTTCACGAACCCCTCCAATCAGATTTCCATGCCGCCCACAGCACAGAAACAGTCCTGGTCAAAGTGATAAATGACATCTGTACATCTGCGACCAGGGCTCCCTCTGCCTCCTCGTCCTCCTTGTTTCTGCTGTCTTCGACACCATCAATAATAATAATAATAAGAAGAATAATAATCCTTGCATTTGATATAGCACTTTTCATGTCTTCTAGACGTCTCAAAGCGCTTCACAGAATATGCTGTAAAGTGAATTGACTGTATATTTGTGAACGAACCACTCTATCTTCATCCACTACCTCTCCTCTCATCTCTATCTTCATGTTGCTGTCCTTGACTGCTTCAGATTGTACCTCTCACACCACCTCCACTTCATTTCCACAAATGGTTTCTCCATTAGCCCCCACACCGTCTCGTGCGGCGTTCCTCAGGGCTCTGTCCTTGGTTCCCTACTCTTCAATATCTACATGCTCCCTCTTGGTGACATCATCTGCAGATATGGGGTCAACTTCCACATGTTTGCGGTTGACACCCAAATGTACCTCTCTGCCTCCACCCTGACTCCAGGACCACTGCTATCCTGACAGAATCTGTGTCAGGCATCAAGTCCTGGATGAGAGCTAACTTTCTTCAGTTGAACATCAACAAGACAGAGATTGGTTCCTGTCAGCGCCTCCACACCTCAGGCACTGACAGCATCACCATCCATGGTTGCACACTCCACCTTACTAAGCCAGTCCAGAACCTTGGCATCTTGTTTAACCCTCAACTATCCATTCTACCCCACATCTGTGCCATGACCCATTCTGGCTTCCCCCACCTCCATAACATTGCCCGTCTCCGCCACTGTCTCACACATGCATTCATAACGTCGAGGCTTGACTATGCAAATTCCTTGCTTCTCAGCCTCCGCAACTCATAGGCTATAGATCATCCAGAATTCGGCAGCCCGTGTTATCTCTCACACCAGGCTCCGTGACCCTATCACCCTTCTGCCACTCTGCTGCCATCCTCTGGAACTCCATCCCTCTGCCTCAAACCCCTCCCTTGCCTCCTTCAAGACCCATCTCAAGATCATCCTGCTTCCCCACTGCCCTCCAACCTCCCCAATCCCGACCCCCAGCTCGGGTCCAAAACACTGACTGTCCAGAGACTTGGGACATCCTCCTAACGTGAAAGGAGCTACATAAATGTAATGTAATGTGATGTTGTTGTTGTATTTACATTCCACATTATTTGTTTCAGCGCTGTGGCTGCTAAACAGTTATGACCGAAATCCTCTGTTTATGCTATCCGCATTTTTAAAAATATGTTGCAAGAGATCCTGAAAGTTTGGCTGGGCCTAAGTCTGACAATCAATCAAAAGTTATAACTGCCTCAAGGAGAGCCCGCATATTTCCCCTCTTTACCTTATCAAGCAAATATGAAGCAAATCAAAGTTAGAATGCCCCCACCAACACCACCTGACTAAAAAATATTTTTAAAAATCAGCTTTTTTTTGTAAAATAGCGAAGCGGTAATAGAGATGTGAATTATGTTGAGCTGGTGTAGGGTAATCCATCTACTGTTAGTTACTGAACATTTCATTAAATGAGGAAATGACTTTGAAATATAACATCCTGAAATGACATTGAACATTTCTTGTGTAAAAGATTACACATTTATCACCACCAGTTATGAAAATTGGACAGGTAGACTAACATGTACATATTCTTACTGTGTTATTAATACCATGCTTTATCCTACTGTATAAATAATGCCGAATATATATAAATCTTTGATACAACATTTTTTAAAAACAATACAATATGTATTCTCTTCTAGAACATAATTTTTCAAGGTGGGCAGTAAATCTCTCTATGCTGCTTGTCTTTTCCAGTTGTTTAAAAGTATTTTCAAACTGATTTCATTATTACTCCAGTGTAATGTCTTCATAACTACAAATTAATTGAAGCAAAGTTCTCTTAGTTACTGGATTTTGACAGTGATTTGAGAGCTACTTTGAGTTCATTGATTGTTTTAAGCAACAAGGCAGACATTTAAATAAAACATCAGGATGAATCATGTATTTGAGAACCTTCACCTAAGGAGTGTGGGATACCTTGACGTAATATTACAATTAAATTTACCTTTCAGAATGTTTATAAATAATCCAAGAAAACCTGGTATACGACACACACTGTAGTGAAGACTGGAGGGGACATCAGCTTTCTCGAGTATCGGAACTAAATTAAACAATAAGTAACCTTGAATTTTATTAAGACACGTTCATGCTGAATACTGCCCCCTGAGAGGTGACAACTCATAGAAAATAAGTGGGTAGCAACAGGTTCATTGAAATATTGGATTAGGAAAATAAAACAAATTATAATTTAAACTACATTTTTCATCTTGTTACAAACATAAGAGCAGGAGGTGTTCATTCAGCCCGTTGAACCATTTCTGTCTGTTCATTAGATTATAACAGATAAAATAATTCACTTCATATTTTGTAAGCGAAGCCTTGCAAATGCATATTTGAGCATCACCTAGTGTACTATTGGCCAGCATGTACTCTGACATATAGAATGTTTTCATGCATTTTTCTCTTCAACAGCAACTGCAAAATGTGCTAATTGAACATTTTGATACCGTTAATATGACTCTTCTAATGGCTAGCGAAAGCTTGATAGACACAGAGAACACTATATCTGAACTGGAAAACAACATGACGGTAAGTCTGTCAACTTTAGAATCATTTTCAAATGGCAGTAAGTAATCCTTGCATTTGGCATAGCGCCTTTCACGTCAGGAGGAGGTCTCAAAGCACTTCATAGATTTTACTTTGCAGGCTGCGCGACATTAAACAACAGCTTTTGGTTTACAAACTTGGTTCCTGCCCTTGTTTTGCTTTAAATACATTTTAAATATTTTGACTGCAAGAACTGACATTATGAAGCAGAGAGCTTCAATGACAACATTGAATGCTATTCCCAGTCCTTGTTCCTATCAATTGCAAATCCGGGAACCAGAGGGAATCCATGTAGGTCCATAGTAAATCAATATGAATACCACTCTTCTCAATATTGATCAAACAGTTATTCGTCTTGTAAGCTTCTTTAATAAAGCCATTAAAGAAAATCTATTGTAGGACACATTAATATTGAATAACAATAAACAACAACTAGCATTTATACACACCCTTCATTTAGGATAATGTCACTGAACAGAGACGGTATCGATACCAAGCAAGCGAGAAGGGGAGGGGGAGGGGCGAGGGGGAGGTGATCATAAGTCAAAGTCAAAGAGGTAGGAATTGAAAAATGGACAGAGGAAGTGAAACCTCGGAGGGGTAGAGGGAGGGAATTCCAGAGGTTAGAAGCATAGTAATTGAAGGCTCATAATTTTTTGGGATCAGCCGGGTGCTACCACATGCAGAAACCCTTCACCATGCTTAAGAGTGTCCAAACCAAACTGAGATTTCTATGCATGCCAGATACACATGGAACTTGCAGTGATAGATTGTGAGAATGGTATGCACACAAGGCGTAGGTTGGGAAGAGCCAAGACTTGGGGACCCCAGAATGTGCATTGGGGCAGTCCTGGAATCTAACCATCTAAAACCGCATAGCTTGCTATTGAGAGAACTGCCACACAAGCTTTCCTGCTGCATGTCCTACTAAGACCTGTTGGGGTTTTGGCTTGCAGGGTTAACTGAGTAGGAAGAGTCCCTGACCCAGTGACTGGTCTGCCCTTCCAAGTCCTGTTGATGAGCCAGGATGACTGTGTTGTCATCAGCAGTGCCCTGGAATACTATGGACCCACCTGGCCCAGCACCTGGACTGCCACAGAGGACTGGCTCGATTCCGACATTCCGTTGCCAAACATGTCACCTTGGAGTTAGTTCAGCTCCAAAATCACCTACCTTACATACCCTGCAAGGAGGATAGTCACCAGTTGGTTGTTTGACATCCAACAAGCGTGAGTTTGAGCCCTCGCTAGGTGGATGGTTGGTACCAAGAACTCCTTACGAGCTTTCTAGTAGGCACAGCTCAACATGAAATGTGTGAGAGCATTGCCACTTGTTCCTGCCTGCTCTTCAGACATACATCCTTTTCCATTTAGCGATGGTTCCATCGGTTTGAGGAACGGAGTTTCAGCAGCTGCTTACCAAGGCTGTCAACAACAAATAATATTTTATTGCACCTTTCATGTTGTCTCTACCCCCTCCTCGCTCCCTCCCTTCCCTCCCCTCACCCTGACCATTTCCCTCCTCCTTGCTCCCTCCCTTCCCTCCCCTTACCCTGACCATTTTCCCCCCAAGGCTCGGGTCCTGACCCAACTGTCCAGCGCATTGGGACGTCCTCTCGACGTGAAAGGCACTCTATAAATGGAATCTTGTTGTTGTTGTTGTGGAAGGATAGTTAAGGGTTTGCACATTAACTAGGAGGGTGGCCAAAGGCACTGTCAAAGAGGAGGGTGTTGAGATGAGCTTGTAAGGAGGCATGGGAGGGGACGAGGTGGATGGAGTTCCAGAGGGAGGGGGCACAAAAACTGAAGGCCTGACTGCCAATGGTGTTATGAACAGGCATTTGCAGAGGTAGGGAGGAGCAAAACTGTGGTGGGCTTTAAAAGTGAGGATAAGGATTTTATGTTCAATCATCTGAGGGATAGGGAGCCAGTGGAGCCAGGCAAGAAGGGAGTAATTGGTTTAGGACGCTTTGATAAGAGAGAGGACACTAGCTGCAGAGTGCTACTCTCTACTCTCCATCAATGATGTGATGAAGATGACAAAGAGTTGTAAGCCCAATATTGCCAAGTAAAGAGGGCAATCAGAAGAGTGGAGAAGATCACAGAGATAGAGAGGTGCTAACTTGCAAATGTACTTACAGGTGAATGTGAGGAGCTTGAAGTCTCCTTTGGGAGCCTTTGTGGCGCCTGGCAAGCACTGGGGTGATGGGCATGCAGAGTTCAGTGTGATGAGGATAAGGATGGTGAATTTTTGTATGAGCTGAAACTTTTAGATAGTGGAACTAGGGAGACTGTCAAGGGGTGCATTGAGAAATCGGATTGGGAGTTGCGAATTGTGGCATTTTGTTTGGGAGAAGGATGGAGGTAGGCAATGTGTTGGAGGTAAAGAAAAGCAGTCTTGGTCAGGGACCCAATATGAGGAAGAAAGGAGAGCTGAGGATTGATCTAAATGCCATGATTACACACCGAACATCCGAGGAGGTAAAATATTAGCAATGTTGTAATTTTTGATTGAATTGCATTTATTTCAGGCCATGTCTGAGTTCCATGCCTCAATAGATGGTGCTCATGAAAGACTGAGAGAGAAGCTGGCTAATCTTTCCTCATATAACAAAGACCTGGTTCTCCGAGCAACAGAGTACTCTCGAGATCTTGACAAACTTGCCTTGGAACTGGCCAGGTGACTTGTATTATGATGCTACACCAACAGAGACAGATGGAAAGAAACAGAGAGCAGCTCAATGGCATAGCAGGAGCCATAAATGCATGTTTCACTTCTATGTAGTATGCATTTGTTGCTAGTAATAAGAGTGCCTGTTAAAAAATCAATTGTGTTATACTGACAGACATGAACCTTTATATTGTTTTTTTTATTTGCCTTACTGTCGGTATCAATGTTGTTGTCATTTAAGTGACCCAAACATGAGAAACTTGTTACATTAAATAGCTTTATATGTTATACAATGCTACTGCTAGGCAGAGCTACTGTACACACATATGTTACATAAATTTGCTTCATATATTTTTATTCTTCAAAACAGCATTTTGAAGAGCATTGACACAAACGGATTTATCCAGAAGGCACTAACTGCTGCAAACGTCTATAATACTATTGTTGAGTATATTGCTGAGGCTGAGAACAATGCAACAACTATACTCAACGCTGCACAGAGAGCTGGGGATGTAAGTATTGGTTTTGCTAATTCACATTATACTGTGGAGGCACAATTGGACACATGTTTAACAGACAAAATGTTACACATTTCATTACACTTATTTTAAGTCAATTAAGAATCCCGAAAAATGTAAAATGCTTCAACAGTAAACTCACTATTCCATCCTCTATTAATATCCATTTCCCACACATATATATATATATATAAAGCATCCCTATACTTTCTGAAACAGATTATGAATGGGATGTAAAATGTAAAATATACTCGAGACTCGAATTATTGCATTAATTGTAACTGGTTTACAAATATTAGATTGTGAAATTGGTGACGAAATTCACAAGCAGCAAATTGTATAATGGAAAGGCCGACAAAGTCTGAACAAGCCAACAGCAAAAGGACTGGTGTTTCATTGGTCTTAATTTGTGCTTTGCCATGTTGAGGTTCAGAATTGGCATTTGCTGAATTACTGTGGCTGTTTGTGAGCTGTGGACATTTCTCAAATACATGATGCAATAACGTAAAATACATTTTCTTGATTGAATATTTCTTGATTTATGCTATGACTTGTGCAAATGTTCGGGGATCGGGGGAAGTGGGCAGGGGTGGGGGGCACTTCAGGCCCACGGGCCACAGGTTGGCCACCATTGGTTTGGGATGTGTTTTAAAAGATGAAATATTTTATATTGGAATATGTTCTGTCAAACCTTGCTTGTAGGAGAATAGGTAGGTGGAATATATCACCCTGGATAGGTAGGAAGTACAGTATCTTATTTCAGTTAAAACGTGGGTAGTTCATGGGTAATATTTCATGGCTAGTGGGTAGTATATTTATAATTGTCCTGTGATTTATTTTCAATGATTCCAGACACAGGAAAATTTCCATGTGTGAATGCTATGGAACCTTCAGTCTGTTTTTGGATATTCTTTCGCATGGTGATTTATCTCTGTATATGTCACACTCCATGCTGACCGAAACAAAAATCAATGGGAACGATGTTGAATGTGTGAATGTTCTTGATTTCAGGCTGTGGAAGGAATTCAGACCCAGAGCACCTGGCTCAGAAACAAAAGCGAGACACTTCTAGACAAGGTGAAGGAATTATCAGGGATCATGGTGGATCGTAAGTGCATTTATTCAGAACTCTGCCAGTTTTCTAGTTTTAAAATATACAATTAAACTAAATGGCTAGATGGTCACCTGCAATCTCAAAGTGACCCCATGAAGCAAAACCGTGATAACCACAGAGCAGGAATGTGCACGGAGGTAGGTGATTAACACGTGGGATTAATCAGACCATGACCCTATACTCCAGCCTAAAAGCTCATGCACAGATTTAGAATAATAAAAAATAATAATAATCCTTGCATTTGATATAGTGCTTTTCACGTCTTCTAGACATCTCAAAGCGCTTCACAGAATATGCTGTAAAGTGAATTGACTGTATATTTGTGGGCGAAACGCAGCAGCCAATTGCGCACAGCAGTGTCCCACAAACAGTCGTGGATTGAAAATGACCAATTTTATTATTATTCTGTTTTGGAAGGATTACTATTAGGTGTGTGGAGTAAGGAAACTTGCCCAAGGTTTCGCTCTGCCTGGAATTGAACCCAGGTGTCTCGCTTGCAAGGCGAGTGCTCTAATCACTGAGCTACATGACTTCATTCCATATATACTCATTGATTCAAGGTTCGATGAGGAAATTGGAGTTCAGAACGTTAATTAAATATTTTTCCTTCAGTTATACAAATGTTAAATGCTTCTTTACCACATTGTTGTGCTTAAGTGAAATTAAGCTAGGGTATTTAATTAATAAGCTCATCAATTAATATTTATAATGTAATTAGTTGCAAGTGTAATTCATTTTTGGGTGCGGTATGCACAGTCTCCAAAAGTTGCTCCACATTATCCCAGAAAACTTCATCTCTTTCACGTACACATTTTCTCTGATGTTGGAAGCTTTGTTTAGCCAATATTAAATCAGAAATTCATCTAACATCATCATATCTCCTCCAGCTTTCAGGATGAAAATATTAATACTTTACAGTCAATATAAATGCAGTTGTCGGTTTCAAGCACTCTTGTCTCTGAGTCAGAAGGTTGTGGGTTGAAGCTTTATGTCGGGACTTGGAAGTCTTACAATCTAGGCTGACATTCCAATGCAGTTTTGAATGTGCTGCATTTGTTGGAGGTGCCATACATTAGATGAGATGTTAAGCTAAGGTCCCATCTGCCAGTTCATATGGATTTTAAAGATGCCATGACGCTACTCAAAAAAGAAAGGTGTTTCCTGATGTTCTTATCCTGAAATACAATTGGACATTCACTTCATGGCTGTTTATGGGGGTATTGTGTGAAAATTGTCTACAAAATGCAGTCACTGCCTCTTACAGAATATTCTGTGACATGCTTTGAGATGTCTTCTCACAATGAAAGATGCTATATCAAATGTAAGGATTATTATTAAGTGACTACACATTAGCACAGCAACACCAGAAATGGATTTTTGTTACTATACAATTTTGTTTTTTTGTAAAATAAATTTTAACTGCTTGGTGCAATACTTTATGAAGATGAAAGATTTTTGAATTTATGGAGTCCTGAGGCTCAGTGGTTTAATATAACTTAAGATGTGTTATGTTCTTACAGAAGATGAGATGTCTTTTAATGAGACCATGGACCGTGTGGAAGAAGCTATCAATAAGAAAAATGATGCAGAACAGCAATTGTTAAATGTTGTAAACCAGCTGGAAATGATTGAGCTAAGTAAGTATTTCTGCAAAATATTTAAAATTGCTTTGCTCAAGGATGCCTTAAAATACAAACAGATAAATTCATCAGCGTAAAATGATATCAAAGCGAACAAATATGAGTCTTGCTTCTTGTCCTGCCCAAATTGTAGTTAAACATTCTTGGCATCCACTTCAGTTTGATATATCAGCCACCATCCTGTTTAACATTTCAACTGCTCAAAATGGGAAGACTGAACAGTCTGTTGTTAGAATTTTTCCACAAGCTCAATTGAGAGTTGTTTGGACAACGAATAAAAGGCATGTGTGACTATGTTGATTTCATACTGCTCTTTGTACTGCCAACAACATGACGTCTCTTTGGGACAGGTTAGTGGCACAATGCCAACAGTACAGTATGAATTGGGCAACTTTCCAAGTGGTTCCACTCAGAGAAGAATATGTATTGATTGGAGTATAAAACCAACCCTGTTTTAAAATAAGTGGGAGTGGTGGGGGGTGGGGGCGGAGTTAGGCTTATTTGGAGAATTGAACTATGAACACTGGCACAGACTAGTTGGGCAGAATGACCTGTTTCCATGCTGTAACAGTCTATGTCCATCTAAAATTTAAAAATGAACTCTGGTGCTCCAAATCTACCATGGTTCACATTTTATGATCTATCTTGTCAGCTTTATTCAAGAATTTAAAATATTACCTGTGATCAACATGAGCCAACAGTTGGGATATGACTTTCTCTACAAAAATCTGCTTTGCATCATGCATAGTATTTCTCACTCAAAACCTCAGCATTGTGGAAGGATCAGAGAACCAAAACTTGGCTGCCATTGTGATAACGTGTTTGCAATCTCAGAGGGGATTTTTCTTTGGCCTGAAATCAATGATAGAGGGAAGCAATAGAGCTTTATAATGCTCTTTGCTGTCTTTTGGAATCTCCATTTATCTAAATGTTTGTTTTAGTAAATTTCAATTACAAAACAGAAACCATATAATTAGAGAAGCAACTTCTGGTTTGCTATTTAGACTCTATTGAGAGTGTATTGACCAATATGTATGGCAAAACAATAACAACTGCCCCTAAGAGAATACCAATATTCAAGTATATTTACATTTGTGTGATACTTAATATATGTCTATTCCAGATGATGCAGGTTTACTTCTGAACCAATCAAAGCTGATTGCTGAAGAAGCATTGAACACCTCTCGGATGGTGACTGAGACAATTGCCCCAATGGATGACTTTGTGAAACTTTGGTTGCAGAATCTGAACACCTCTGCTCATGACAGCTCCACCTTCAACAAAGCAGTGAGCTCAGCGGGTGATGCAGGTACACTTAGGTTATCTTACAACACCTGTTTACTTTACATTTATATCTGTAAGGACATTGGACTTTAGTTACAAACATCCTGAGGTTACCATCATGCACTACACAATAACAGCAATAGCAAATTGTATTTACATAACATCTTTCAAGGGAAAAAAAGTCTCAAAGCACTTTACAGAATGAGACTAATTAGAAGTGAAGTGAATGTTATGCAGGAATCATAACAGCTAAATTGTGTCAGCCAAATCCTACAGAGACCAATGTATGTGAATTTTCAGAGAGAATTTGAATAAGGAGGAAATATAAACCACCATAACCAAGAGAAATCCCCCTGGAAATGGAAATTTCGCAAACCGATGAGCTGGTATTGCAATGTTTGTGGTGACTGGATACCTGCTAAAGATATGCAGAAATAATAGCTGGAACCACAGGACCGATTCAGTAGAAATAATACATGAAAATATAATAGACTGAACTCTGCCCTCTCCCAGCTAGAGTTGGTACTTGACTTAAATATTTCCTCATAAATTATTTACCAGTGAGGAAATTTCATCCTGCACTTAAGAAAAGAGAAAAACTTAAACCAAGGTGGAATTCAGACATTTATTGTATAATTTTGATTGGCAAATCGAAGGCACAAATAACTGTAAAGTTTAGACTGTTGAAGTAAACGTGATAACGATATTTAACAACAACAATTTGCATTTATATAGCACCCTTCACGCAGGAGCGCTTAACAGTGGTGTGGCTTGACCCCAAGCTGGAAAGTGGGGTGGGTGGGGGAAGACATGGTTGCAAAGGAAAGGCTTCAGGTGTGATTTGAAGACAGGCAGAGTGAGGGCAAGACTGAAGGTTTGAGGCATTGAGTTCCAGAGAATCGGGGCAGATAATTTAATGCAAACAAATGTAAAAACCTCAAATTACATGAAGGACTCATAGAGTAATGCATATTTATTACTATACTAACTGTATTAGTCCTACATGTAATGTGAGGCTTTTACATTTGTTTGTATTAAATTATATGCCCTGAATCTCTGGAACTCCTTGCCTCAAACCCTCACTCTCCTGCCTTCAAATTACATCTGAAGACTCTCCTTTTCGACTGTGAGTTTCCCCCCACCCCCACTACCCCCCCACCTTTGCAGCTTGGGGTCAAGTCACACCATTGTCACCACTGTTAAGAGCTCCGTTGTCACCTTTACTTCACCAGTTACGACGCCTAAACAATATTTGTGCCTTCGATTTGCCAATCAAAATTGTACAACAAATGGAGGATTAATAGGATTTTCTTATGGAATTTCAGTTTAAGCTGTTGACCAACCATCTAATTTACATGAAATGATAAATCTGCAATTCATATTTAGCATGTATTCTATGGGTTTCTGAATGATTACATGAACCCATGGAGAATATGCAGGTGTGAATCTTACATTTCCATTCTATTTGCAGTGAACGATTTGACTGAATTAGTTCCACAACTCCTAGACAAACTTCGAATTGTGGAACAGAAAAGGCCAGCAAACAATATCTCTGCCAGCATCCTGCGGATCAGGGAATTAATTGCACAGACTAGGAATGTGGCGAGCAAGGTGAGAATAAACAATTGAGTGAATTGATTAATTTGATGGTGTGGTATCGTTTATAACTGTCAATTATCTTCATATTTTTCATGGTGGTGAAGATTGAATAGGCCAGTCAGCTTTTTGTTAACAAGTACCCGGGCTAGTGAACCAGTGAAATTCTCCTGATAAGTGTAGGCAAGTCTGAACAAGAGTAACAGCTGAGATTCTGAACATCAGTGATGACTGTGATTTGAACTCATTACTTTCTGATCTTCCAAGCTGAGCGTTTGTTCCATCCTTTACCCAATGTCTTATAGTATTCAGTTATGGACTACATATTGTTTGATAAATAGAGGAAAAATTAATTTTCTTTTTTTCACCTTAGATTCAAGTCTCCATGAAGTTTGAGGGTCAGTCTGCTGTGGAAGTCCGTTCAAAATCAAATCTGGAAGAGCTCAAGTCCTTCACTTCAATGAGTTTGTACATGAGAGTCCCTTCCTTAAGCGAATATGGACAGGCTGCCAGCCAAGATAGATTCATCATGTACCTCGGAAACAAAAATGTAAGAGCATTGACTCAATATGAATTCTACTGCAGTTTAGTCCTAAAGCACTACCAGGCATGAAGATTGGGAATGCTATCCACAATTAAATCTGAATTCCACTCGACAGATTAAATGAAGTTCCATGTTTGAAATTTTTGTTTTCTTGTTGTTTTCTAGGCAAAAAGTGATTATATTGGCTTGGGTATTAAGAACGACAACTTGGTGTATGTCTACAATCTAGGAAAAGGAGATGTTGAGATTCCATTGAACTCAAAGCCTGTGAGCACATGGCCCAACTACTTTAACTTAATTAAAATAGAAAGGTAATTGTCTCTTGGCCTGCACTATTCATAATGTAAGGCATTATTAATAATATAATTCTTGCATTTGATGTATCTATGCTGCAAATATTTTAAAACTATAAGTGAAATGGTAGTACAATTAGTTGCAACATTGTTCTATACTCTTTTATCTACAGATTCAAATCCAACCTAGACTGCTTAAACTCAGTTATCCTGCAAATTTAGTCATCAAATTGTGGTGATACACTTCTGAAACACACATCGGGAGTAATTAAGGATGGTTGTTGAAATAAATAGAAATATTCAGTGCAATGGAGCATTTTATGCCAGTTTCAGGTGCATTTTTGGGACAGGGAATATCTAATGATGTGTCTAAATCTCTTCTCAGAGCACTAAATGTTGCCTGGGCTTATCAAGGAGCATACTTAAAGATCCATGACACTCTTTAAAATAGATGAAAGTTTCCCCTGCCAACAGTGCTCCAGATTGTTTGATCGTTTACCTCCTGGCTGCTTATGAGACTTTGTTGTGTGCAGAATATTTCCTGTGTTTGCCGAGAATGAACACTCACTACATGTGATAATAAGACTTAAGATGTTTTGTCCCTATATGGAGTACAAAAATGCAAATTTATTTTCTCTTTTGTGAGAAATGAGAGAGTTCCCCATTCTTCAACACTAGCATTCCTTATACAATAACATAGAACATTACAGCATAGAAACAGGCCATTCTGTCCAACTAGTCTGTGCCAGTGTTTATACTTCAAGCAAGCTGCCTCCCCTCCTTTATATACCTCTATATCTTCTCCCTCTTGTATTCATTATGTATAGAGGGACCTTTCTTTCAAATCCAGCCCGAACAGATCAGAATAACAATTGTCTCTCTGATGGGTGAGGGAATACACTAAAGCAGTCTCTATCCCAATGGGCATGAACATGTCCTTGTCCTGCAAATTTAATCTGCTCTCCAATTTGACACAACACATTTCTACCAATTCCAATTTGTGATCTATTGACTATTGTCGCTATTGTGTTGGCCTAATCTAAAAATAAAATTTTTGCAACACCACATGTTGCATTCACATGGAGTAGAATCTTATTACGCTTCAGTGCTCCACAACTCTGTCCGACCTGAAGGTCAATATATAAATCCAGGTTGTTGTGAGTGCTGAGACACCAGGAGAAACTTCTCTTGTCAAATAGTGTCATTCTGAGTTTTATATGCATGGTTGGTCTAGGCTTTATTTATGAAGATCTAAGCAGGTTTAACCCTTTATCCGAAGGATGACAATAATGCAGCACTTCTCCAGCACTGCTCAGGAGTTTCACCCTAGACTTTGGGCTGAAATCCTGACGTAAGGCTTGAAACCACAGCTTTCTGATACAGAAGTGAGAACGCAATGTGCAGCCGGAGCCAGGGTGACAGGTTGGTAGCTAGGTCCTTCTTACTATGTTTCCTTACTTTTCTTTATAGGGTCGGAAGGCATGGAAAAGTTCAGCTGACTGTACCCAGCCCAGGCAGCACAGCTGAACAGAAATTCATCCAGAAGGGAGTGGCAGAAGGCAATGATTCTCTGCTGAATCTTGAACCTGAGAATCTGGTGTTCTATGTTGGTGGTGTACCTCCAGACTTTCAGGTACACTTATTCAAAGGAACCCCACAGTTAGTGTATGGTCGGCCTCGGATTGATTTATGACTATCACCTGAATTTGCCCAACACTTTCTTTTATGACATTAACAACTGAAACCACTCATGAACTGCCACAATTGCCTTCGGGACACTATTGTTTTTGAATACTCTGTATTCTTTGAAAAACTGGTTGCAAGGAATGAACCAATGATGATGATTATTGTCAACCTTTCTTTCCTTTTACCTACAAAAAAGTTACTGCAGTTTATAGTATATAAAGTATATATGTATATATAGTAGTGAAATGTGGCAGTCATGTCCCTCAAACAGTTGTGGTTTGAATGATTCAATATTTTTGTTTGAGGGATTATTACCCCCGGAAACAATCCGCCAATCGACTAACAACTGGGTACCTGCTTATTGGTTGGAGTAAAGAAACTTGCTCAAGGTTTCACCCTGCCTGGTACTCGAACAAGGGCACTTTCGACTGCAAGGCGAATTCTCTAACTAACCACTATGCTATGGGACTCCCAGGTGATAGGGCTCCTGTAGTGATATATAAGTAAAGACACACATACCAGAATGTACCACATTCAATTCCAAGTCTGTTCTGATTTAACTGATACAGTCCCTGAGCCAGGGAAGGGAAAGGTCAGACAAGGTTTCCACTCCTGGTCACTATCTAGTGAACCATGGTGTGAGTGAATATATGGACATGATTTGTGGGTAATTAAGGCAAGTGGCCTTTTCTCGCACCGCATTTTATAATCTTCCTATTATAAATGTTCAGGTAGACTGTACACAGACTTAAACTCCATAATAATAATCCTTACACTTGATCATTATAAATCACATTTACATTTTTCCATTTCATCCAAAACCACATTAGCCTGTGAAACAGTTACTTGTAGACCAGTCAGATTATGTTATCACTTTGTGCTCTCTCGTACATTTTGCTACTCATTAATCTGACAGAATCTTTGTCTCCATACTTGAGAAAGGCTAATTGGTTGCAGCAGTGACTACACACAGGCTGACAGGCTGATAAAATAAATTTAAGTAATAGTGATTGTTTCTGTGTCTAACCTTTTGTTAGGTCATTGCTTTGTTCTAAGCATTCACGGAGTTGTCTCAATAGAAACTTTTGTTTATGTCTTGTTTGCCACAGCTTCCTGTCAGCTTGAACCTTTCTGCTTTTATCGGCTGTGTCGAACTGTCCACTCTCAACAATGACATAATCAGTCTCTACAACTTCAAGCAGCTGCACAACTTGAACACTACAACCTTGAGACCCTGCACAAGGTGAGTAGTGGCCCGTTCACACGGCCCTATGGTTAAACATATCAACCACAACAATTTGCATTTACATAGCATCTTTCACATCAGGAGAACCTCTCAAAACCCTTCTCACAACTGACTGGGATCCAAAGTTTGAGGGTGGAAAATGCTGTGGGTGGTGGGAAGGGGTTGTGACAGTGGGGAGGAATGTCTTTACATTCATGGGTCACAAAAGTTTAAAAAGATGTTTAATCAGCCAAAAGCTTACTTATTCTGCTATGCTCAGATTTCTGGGTCAATTTCAAAATGATCAGTGCCTTTCTAACAATCTTCAGCTGCCACTGCTATAAGAGTGAAATAAATGAAGGCTTGTTCTATACCAAGTGAATTGCTCAGATTCTTATAGTTAGTTTCAGCAGTATAAAAGTCATTTGATCAGTCTTGGCATGCAACTAAACATGTACATTACTGCCTCACTGTGCCAACTGAATACTGAGATAGACCAGCTGCTTGCAGTGATTTCTGGTTACAAAATAGAGGTCCAGGTTGTGACATTGTCAAGGAGTGAGAGTGAGAGAGAGACGGTGGGGAACATTTCTTTTACAAAGAGTTACTGCCAGTTCTCATTGTCTTTAAACTACAGATTATTCAGATTGATCTGAGTGTTTATTTATTTAATTATTTATTCACAACCTCATAGTTTGCATTGATTAACCATGGGTTTACGGTGCAATTGGTAAAACTTTATTATAACCTCAGTTTTACCGAATCTGTTCAGTTTAAGAGGAGTGCCTCAGTGCATTAGCCTTTGGCTTCACAATGGCCGTTACGTAACTGGACCCATTTTAATGTCAATGAAGAACTGACAGTCAATGCTTCAGTTTCCACTGTCTGCATTTGTACCACAGCTATAAAAGATCAACATTTTGTCCAAATCACCTCCTTAATCTGGTCTCAGCAGCTGGATTCAAGGACAAAGCACGTCGAACATCTTAGTTTGTAATAAAAGATATAAATTCTTACAGCATTATGCCAACTGAATGATGTGATAATTGCTCTTGAGACTCTACCCATATAAGCTGTTATTGTGTGAGCCCAGCTGCTTGGAGTGAATCCTGGTTACAAAATAGAGGTCCAGAAGCTATATTTTTGCAATGATTGTGCAACATCATCCTTAGACATGGGGTCTCTGCCTCCACCCTCAACCCAGAACAACTGATGTCCTGACAGACTGCCTGTCAGACATCAAGTCCTGGATAAGAGCCAACTTTCTATAGTTGAATGTCAGCAAGACCGAGGCTTTCCTGATTGGCCAACACCAGCCCCTCCACACCTTAGGCACTGACAGCATCAGCATCACAGATGCACACTCCACCTCACCAAGTCAGTCAGGAATCTAGATATCTTGTTCGACCCACAACTGTCCTTTCTGCCCCACATCCATGCCATGACCCGCTCTGCTTTCCCCCATATCCGTAACATTGCCTGACTCCGCCACCGCCTCATCCCTCAGGCCGCCAAAACCCTCATACATGCATTCATAACATCTAGGCTTGACTATGCCAACTCCCTGCTTGTCGGCCTTCCCATCTCTTCCCTCCACAAGCTGCAGATCATCTAGAAATCTGTAGCTTGTGTCCGCCGCCACTCCAGGCTCCGTGACCCCATCACACCCACCCTTGCCCAGCTTCACTCACTTCCCACTCTCCTCACCTTCAAGGCCCTCAATGACCTTGCCCCCTCCTACCTCTCCGACCTACTAACCCCTTATCAAGCTGTCCGCTCCCACCGCTCAGCAGGCTCTGGCCTGCTCCATGTCTCCCACCGGGCCAACCCAACTATCGGCGGTCGAGCCTTCAGCCTCTCTGCCCCCAACCTCTGGAATTCCATCCCACATTCCCTTCGCCTCGCTCCCTCTCTTGCCTCCAAGACCCTCCTCTTCAACCATGCCTTTGGCCATCCTCCTAACCTCTCTGCCCTCCACCCTCCCTGATCCCAACACCCCCACCCACTCGGGTTCTAACCCTAATCTCTGACTGTTCAGCACCTTGGGACGTGAAAGGCGCTTTACAAATGTTTTTTAAAAAATTCATTTCAACGAAAGTTCAGTATAAACTAGGAGTTTTCCCTTGAAAGTAACACTGATGTTTACTTAATTGCATCCAACTGAAAGCAGCAGGGTTTGGAGACTCCAAGAAAATATTTGGGCATGATTTGCACCAATGTATCCATTGGAAAGTGCACCTGATATAGTTGATTAAAAACTAATGGCTGGGCCAATAGTGCAGTGCACAGTAAGTTTGAAAAGAGTATCAGAAAAAAATGAGCTCTTTCAGTAAGTGCTTAGCAATGTTCGGCTTGTTTTTTGATAAAGTCTGTGGATTGTCAGAGCAAGAGAAGATGAAAGGAGTTTCACATTTTTGGGAATTGAGTTCATAAGAAGAATAATTGCATTTCGTGAAGAATGTTTCACATCAGGAGCACATATACTGCTTCACATGATATACTGTGAAGTGCAGTCACTGTGTGTTTTGTAGGTGAACACACAGCAAACAGCAATGCCCCACAAACAGCCATAGAGTGAATGACCATTTTTGTTTGGGGGATTGGCAAGAAAACTGAGAGAAATTCATTCTTTAAAATAGTGCAATGAGATCTTTAAAATCCACTTGAACAGGCAGACAGGGCTTTGGGTTAACTCTGCCTTTCCTCCTCTACCCTCAACTCCATGACCACTGATGTCCTGACAGCTGCCTATCCGACATTGAGTCCTGGAAGAGAGACAACTTTCTTCAGCGCAACGTGCGCAAAACTGAGGCTCTCCTGATTGACTCGCGTCAGCGCCTCCGCACCTCAGGCGCTGACAGCATCAGCATCCAAGGCTGCACTCTCCACCTCTCAAAGCCAGTCAGGAACCTCGGGGTTCTGTTCGACCCTGAGCTGTCCTTTCTTCCTCATATCCGCGCCACTGTGCACAGGGAAAGGGAGGGAGCAAGAGAAAGGCACCACCTTCCATCACCTCCAGAACATCGCCAGACTACGGCACTACCTCACCCCTCACGCTGCTGAAACACTGGTCCACGCCTTTATCACATCAAGGCTGGACTATGGGAACTCTCTCCTCGCCGGCCTTCCCGGCACCTGCCTCCACAAGCTGCAGGTCATTCAGAACTCTGCAGCTCGTGTACTGTCCCGCACCAGGCTTCGCGACCACATCACTCCCACCCTCGCTCGCCTCCACTGGCTCCCCATCCCCCAGAGGATCGAATTCAAGATCCTCATCCTCACCTACAAGGCCATTCACGGCCTTGCTCCCTCCTACCTCTCTGACCTACTATCCCCCTACATACCTGCCCGTACCCTCCGTTCCTCTGGCTCCGGTCTTCTCCACGTCCCCCGCCCCAACTGCCCTACCATCGGTGGCCGGACCTTCAGCCTCTCAGCCCCTAAGCTCTGGAACTCCATCCCCCCCCAGTGCCTTCGCCGCCTCCTCCCTTTCCTCCTTCAAGGTCGGTCTCAAGACCTTTCTCTTTGACCGTGCCTTCAGCTCCCCTCTCAACTCTCTACCCCCTCCTCGCTCCCTCCCTTTCCCTCCCCTCACCCTGACCATTTCCCCCCTCCTCGCTCCCTCCTTTCCCTCCCCTCACCCGGACCATTTTCCCCCCAAGGCTCGGGTCCTGACCCAACTGTCCAGCGCCTTGGGACGTCCTCCCGACGTGAAAGGCGCTCTATAAATGGAATCTTGTTGTTGTTGTTGTTGTACATCTTAAGAACTTAAGGGTTGGGGGCAGTGTAGTAAATTCTGATTTCAACACAATGCAGAAGGGAAGAGTTATAGTGCCTGTTAATAATCCTTGCATTTATAATAATCCTTGCATTTGATATAGCGCTTTTCACGTCGGGAGGACGTCCCAAAGCGCTTCACAGAATATACTGTAATGTGAGTTGACTGTTAAACAGAGATAGATAAGAAAGATTGCAATGGGAATGAAGGAGGCCATTTGTGAAGAGAAAATTACTCATGAAAAATGAGATGTTCTCTGTAAACCTATTGGCGTCAAATATCAGATGCTTTCTAAGATAATTCTTTAATAAAAAAATGGTGCATCATACTGTCTGCTGAGAGCACTGCTCCCACACAATCTTGCAGAGTTCCTGTCGCTTAATGTTCTTCCTATTTTGAAGGACCCTCCACTTGGCTACTTTATTAAGAAATCCCATTAGAAAGCACCATGTATTAAAGCCCAGTGTGTGGCAAAACACAGCATATACTGTAACACCAGGACATATAGGTTGTTATCCAGAATCAGCGGTGCTTATAAATGGAGTCTGGAAATTCAATGTTCTTTATTTGCACAATAATATTCTATTTGCCAATAAAGTTTCCTGCTTCACCTCATAAATTGCTTTGGGAAAGTTTTAAGAATTATTTTTTGGCAGACAAAACACTGTTCCATGAAAGAAAGACAGGCTTATTGATCTTCAACTTCCCAAAGCTGCCTCATATACATACTACGGAGCAATTTGCCCCTCCATGCATGACAGATGGTTGTGAAAACAGTACGATTTGTATGTTAAGGAACTGTTCAAAGGTAAAATTTTGTGTTGACTTGACTCAGCAAGTTCTTCATAAAGCCATTAAGCTCCTGAAAAAAGAGATTTTAGTAAAATTCCTGCTTTTATTCAGTGTAAAACCACTCTGGGTTGCTAAAGTCTCCCCTTACTTAAAGGTGCATATTATCTAGATCTAGATTGTAAGTTACATCAGGGAGAACCAATCTTATTACAATCCCTGGCATTCAAATCATCCCAGTTACAGGCATAAACCTAATTGACTGGCCTGAAATCAGATAAAGATTTACAAAGAACATCCCATAATACCTTACACTAACCTTACACTTACCTTCATAAGCTTTTTTGACAATAATATTCACAACATGCAACAAAGGATCCTGCAACAGAAAAGCATTTTACATTGTACATTTATATTTTTGGTAGCAGTTTCTGATTCTTGAACTAGCTCTTTAATAAAAGTTGTGGGTTCAAATCCCACATCGGGCATTGAACTCACAGTCTAGGCTGACACCTCAATGCAAATCTGAGGAGCCTGGATTATTGGACGTGCTGTCCTTAAGATGAGATGCTAAACCAACGCCTTGTCTGCTTGGTTTCTCTCAATGTCCTGGCACTTAATTCCCCCTGATAAAATTGATGATTTGGCTTCATGGCTGTTTTGGAGATATTGCTCTGTGTAAATTAGATGTCATGCTCGGTTGCAAAATAGACAGTCGCTCTACTTTACAGTAAATCCTGTGAAGTCTTTTGAGATGTCCACCCGACCTGAAAGGCGCTTTATCAAATAAAAGGATAATTATTATTGTTGTTAATCATTATACTTTAGATAATGGATAAACGTTTTTTTCAAATTGCTGTGTTATATGAGGTGGGTTTGTACCTGTGTTTCGATTCTATCATTGGTAACAATAGTGATTTTCCTGTAACTTCTTTGAAATAGTATTTCCTACTGTAAAAATGTAACAAAAAGGTTGTTTTTTTAAGTTCAGCATATGACAGATTCCCTTGTTAATGCCTTCAGGAAGGCATTGAATGAAAGTCAGGAGCTTCCCACAATTTAGGTAGAGAGAAGTCAGAGGGAATTGCCTCCAGCTACTCCGTGCTGCTATCTAGTGGCCAGATCAAGCTTATGTGAACAACATGCCACCTTAAACTTGCTCTTAGTTGAGTAGTGGTGTGCAGTGAAGCTGTTTTAGTTAGTCAGCACCATGATTGGGCAAAGAGGGAGTAGTAATAGAAGAGGAAAATAATACATGAACCATAATAAAACAGTTCAGTGTTTATTTACTTTTTGACATCTTCCTTTTTATGTTCATTGCAATGTTTATGTATTATTTTTTCTTCAGACACAAGCTTGCTTTTGCTCAGAGCCGGGCTGCAAACTTCTACTTTGATGGTTCAGGATATGCTTTTGTGAAGAACATAGAAAGAAGAGGGAAATTCAGCATTGCAACTCGGTTCAACTTGGACATTCGTACACCAGCTGACAGTGCCCTGCTGTTATTGATGGTGAATGGGGTAAGCACAGTAGCTGCACAGGGATAATTCCACAATAATATTATCTCCAACAACAACAAATTGCAGTTGCACATCAGGAGGACATCCCGAGGCGCAATGAAGGGTTTGCATCCGAGCTAGGGTGTGTAATCAAGAGGAGTGAGGGTGGGGAAGATGACCAAAGTCAGGAGAGTGTAAATATTTTTGAAAGAAAGATTGAAAGCTACAAAAAGTGTTACTATGTACTGTGAATGCTTTTGGTGAAAGAATGTTAGCAATGCAATTTGGAGCTGCAATCATGTATTTTATTCAGTGATAGAGGACTTGTACGCATTACCTGCCTGTGCCACCACAGGACTACTGGAATTTGAAAATCCTCTTTAATATGAATGAGGTTGTAAACATTATTTGCTTTTTTCCAGGATATGTTCTTCAGTATGGAAATGCAAAACGGTTACATTCGCCTGGTTTATGACTTTGGGTTCAGCAAAGGCCCAGTTGTTGTGGAAGACACTGAGAAGAAGAAGCTAATAAATGATGCAAAATACCACGAGGTAAAATACACAGCCTCAAATTGCTCTGTTATCGTTCAGACACCACTGTGCTGTTTCAGGTCCGAAATGTTTAATAGGACAGTTTAGTTCTAATCTCAATTCAGTGAATCCCATTCTAAGAAATCTCCTGCTTACGCTGATGGTTTTAAGATACCAAGGTTTATTCCACTCAAATTTTCCACTAGATATGTAGGCTCATCCTGGCAAACTACTGTAGCTGGGGACGTACCCATTCAGCACTGAGTGTTTGCTAAACACTTGCTTCATTTGCTAAACGTACTTATTCACACTTTTCAGTGTGTCAACACCCTCATTCTTAATGAGAGCACTAAGTTCCCAAGTATCCATCCATTTCCCTCTTCAGCAGTATCTATGGCTTTCTGGGTCAGTGCAATCCACATTCTTGCAAGTGTTTTTTGTGAAGAAATGTCCATCACTCAAAGGATGAATAAACTTTTTATTACCTTTCATTTGCCCTCATAAATTTCTGGTATCTGAGGATTACTATTGAGTCAAGCTTTCGTTTTCTTTCAGGTCTCGTTTATTTATCACCACCTTAAGAAGATGATCCTGCTGATTGACAGGCATAATGTCAAAAGTGTGGAAAATGAAAAGAAGACCATGTACTTCACTGATGTGTATGTGGGCGGAGCTCCTGCCCACATCTTGTCAAGGTAAATTGACCTGAGCTGTGAATATATCTTGGGTGCAATGCAGGAACAACAACAACAACAACAACAACAACATGATTGCATTTATAGAGTGCCTTTCATAGGAAGTTCATATTGTGACTGTAAAATAATAACCAGGTCCCAGTAAGTCTCCTTTTAAACAAATGTCTGTGTAATCTATACACTTAATCCAGATATCATCTGAACATTTTCCTTCAAATTTTGCTTTTCTCCTTTGCAATTGAAAAGCATCAGTTACAGGCACTGATCAAGCCACTTACATTACATACCCTAAGCATGCTGTGGGAGAACAATATCACTGTCTAAATTATCGTGTAAACCTATCCATAGAAGGAAAAAGAAAATTGCTGATCCAATTTTTACCTCTGCAAGTGAGGTTTTGTGTTCACTGAACTCTAAGACTCTTTCTTTTCAGTCAGAAGATTGAAGTTCAAACCCTACATTTGGAATTGAATTTTTAGTGGAAGCTTTTGTTTTATTTAACTTATTGTCGGGAATGTTATTATTTGGATGCGATGTTATGTCTGTTGAGGTAGATGTTAAAAATCCCTGATCTTTAATGGAAAAGAGAAAGCAATTTCTGATGTTCTGGCTAATGCTCTTTCAGATTGCTGTATGCAAAATATTTGCTATGTTTTGCCTACAAAATACAGTGATTGCACTTGACAAGTGAAGAGAATGCATTGATGTGCACTGGATTTGTCTGCTTCATTTGCTAAACATAGTGAATTTGTCCCTGAATTTGATCACAATTTAAATTAAAAATCAAACTTCATTTTTAAAAACAAAATTGTAGGAACAGAATATCATTACAGTTATTTATAAGCATAGTGAGAACTGTGCTAAGCTTAGCAAATGGAGTAGAACAGCCAATGCAGTTCAAGTAATTCTCTTTGTTAAGAGAATATAACAGAATATCTATGAAGATTTTTGTATCCATGTCATGTCAAGGTTGCAATTTTGTTTTAATGCAAAAGTATCTGAATTGTGAAATGTTTCACTATTATTTCTAACAATTATTTCGACAATCTCATATATACCTCAGCCTGGCTGATTAGGTAATACTTTCACCTCCGATCAAAAGATTGTGGATTCAAGCCAAATGTCGGGACTTTGAACCCATATACTCTAAAATGTTGCTCCAATGCAGTGCTATGGCTATGGTGAATTATCAGAGGTTCTGTCCTTTTGTTGAGATGTTAAACTAATTTCCTGCTTGCCCTGTTTAGGTGGATGTTAAATATCCCATGGCACTATTCGAGAAGTGGAGTTTCGAGGCCAACAATCTCCCAACTAAAGTTGCTTGCTCACTTCATGGCTATTTGTGGTCATTGCTGTGCATAAATGGGCTGCTATATTCCCCTTATAAATATACATTCACTATAATCATTGACTGAGAAAGTTACAAACAACTGATCTCAACCTCTGAAGAAAGGTGGGCATTAGTCACTGTGACATTGCAGTATACATTGCTGGATACTCCTCATTGAGTCCAGAATAGAAAATGGGATTTTTAAACATCCACAAAACACAGTGCTGCATTTCCAACATTTCTCATTCCCAGTTATCTGTGATTCCAAGCACACAGTAGTTACAATGACAATCTTTATCACTTCATGTTTTTAAAAGAAAATCCCATAGAAATTACATAGCAAATATTAATTATATTTAACTTTTTGAGCATGATGTTATCTTGCTCAAATATTGTAAATGACGAGTGGGTATGACAGATATGGTGCGTTCTGCATTTTGTTTTGGATAGACTGAAATCACATGTGGCAGTAGATGCTGGATTTCGAGGTTGTCTCAGAAGCTTCCAGTTTCAGAGGAGAGACATCAATCTGTTAGAGGAAGAGGAGACACTGGGAATCAGCAGTGGCTGTCCAGAGGAATCACTTGTAAGTCACTGCTGTGCTGCTGATGTACTTAAACTTGAGCCCTGTAATGTTGGAACTTGGGGTTTAGCAACTTGGCCCATTGATGGAGGGAAAATATTCCACTGGATCCTGTATTTAGAAACCACAGTGAGGTATGTAAATAGATGTGGAATATCAGAAGTCGGTATTAATATGAGGCTTTGTGCTAGTCAAATTATTCTGCTCCTGTTAATAATTAAGACCTTGTCATAGGCTATTAAGTCCACATTCCACATTGGACAAGGATTATGTATATCAGGCCAGTTCAGGTTTGGAATTTTGATAAACCTCATATTTTTTGAATCCACAAGATGTTTGAGATTGATCAATAGGAAGGAATTTTGTTTTAATGGTTTGATAATAATATAATAAGGATTGCAGGCATTCATGGCCACCTACACAGAAAAGAACGCGAGCAAAAACACAACTGTTTTATTTTCTGACCTACTTGCTGCATTTTTACATCACATGCCTCATGCCATGTAACTAAATAAGAGGGATGCATATGATCTTTTCCTTGACTGCACCAATGTTAGACTACAACGAAATGGATAGGTAGGTATGCTAATGACACCACAAATTAGCTATCACTTTTTTTCTCAGATTGGCTTAGCTGATTTGGTCCTACCATTGGATACCACAGCATTTCACTGAATATCATCATTGATACTTTTCACATTATATATATTGCATTTTTCATCCATATTGTCCAGGATCCATGCATTCATCTGGCTCAGTTGGTAACACTCCAGTCAAATGCTAGGTCAAAAGCTTAATAGGCTCAAGCCCCACATGAGGTGTTTGAACTCATTGGCTGACGTTCCATTGCAATTCTGAGGAAGTGCTTCATTGTCAGCTGTGTCCTCCTTCAGATCGGAAGCTAAATTGAGGACCTGTCAGCCTTCAGATGGATGTTGAAGTTCCTATGGCATTATTCAAAAAGAGAAGGCAGTTTCTCCCAGTATTCTGGGCAACAATCCTCCAGATAAAATTGGTCATTCACTTTATGTTTGTGGTAGCTTGTTGTATTGAAATTGACTGCCATGTTTGCCTGTAAATAGTCAGGCTGAAATTAAAGAATAAAACTCTTTGAAGCACCTTGAGACAATATGGTGTAACAGGCTGATATGAAAAAGGAATTAATATCATAACAACAACTTGCATTTATATAGTGCCATTCACATGGGGTAAAATCCGGTAGCATCTGCTACCCCGCGTAACATAATAATAATAATAATAATAATAATAATAATAATAATAATAACATACTCTGATTGCAAAAAAAAAATTCCATGGTAAAAAAAAATTGTGGTTATTGTACATTTAGACTGCACTACTCTCTAAGAATTGACAATACAATTTCTTGACAACAGATGTCCCGCAAGGCCTATTTCAATGGTGAAGGCTTCATCTCGTCCACTGAAAAAATCACACCATTTTCAAACTTCGAAGGTGGCTTCAACTTCAGGACATTACAGTCTAATGGACTGCTTTTCCATTACAGCAGAGGGGTGAGTAGCAGACGTGTGCAGATACTTATCATATGTGAACAGGAATAAACTCAGATGAGAACAGAATAAGACTAATGTCCGCAGAATTAATTCACTTGCTGACACACAAATTGTAAAGTTCTTAAAAAAAGAACATCCGGTTTGCAAAAGAAGGCTACGTTTTAAGAGGATGGTCTTAGGCTATACGTGGACATTGATTATGGATAAGATCAGAGAGATTCTTGATCAAAAGCTTGTCTATGCTTGTACATTAAGAAAGGACACGGATATTTGGTAGCAGTTATCAGTCACAGGAGAGCAAAGGAGAATATTTTGAAGTGGATTCCTTTACTTTTGAAGTAAAGGAAACCTTGATGTGGCTTGAAGCATCTCCCCTGCTCATTCATTTTACACCTAATTTTTGCAGTCTGATATCTTCTCTATCTCGCTGGACAATGGGACAGTCATGTTCAAAGTGAAAGAAACAACAATCCAGTCTGAAATGGAACAATACAATGATGGACGCAATCATTTCATCAGGGCAAGTGTCACCCCATTGAGGTAAACCTCTTGTACTGTTTTGGGGTATTTTAACAAAACAGATTTGTTTTAGTTCAGGGTGATACACTCTTCGAAAATGTTTTCAATTGAATATAATACTCAAAATACTTAACAAAAAAGAACCAATCTTGTGAGGCTTATTGGTGCTAATGAAGTTGTGACTTATACCAAATTATTTATGTCAAAATTGGTAATGCTTCCTAGCATTCTATTATGACTGTTGTACCAGTGATCTCATGACTAGCAAAAAATATAATCTAACGTTAAACATCTTTCACTGGGATAATTTACAATGTTAGAATGCTGTAAATTCATCTTTCGTTTGTATTGGTTTCTATCAATTCACCTCATTTTATCCACATGGGATTAATGTTATTATTAATCATATACACTTCATAGATGCAAGCCTTTAGTAATGAAGCATGTGCTTACAATGAAGGTCAGATATGCTGCTTAGATTTACATCATCTATTCCCCTGAGATCTTGAGGACCTAGGTAATGATGGTAATGAATGGATCCACTCAGCTATGCATTGTAGAGGTGGTAATGCATTAAAGTTCAGAGTGTGATTTTCATAGTTATAGTATTCACGGCATGTTTATTAGTAATGGAATTTGATATATATTGTATAAGTACATCGCCCAAACACTGTTTCGACTATGCCATTAATAATAATATTATTCATTATTTTATATTAATTAATTAATAATTAATATTATTATATATTGACTCTGCCAATTGAAAAATAAAATGTGCAACAATAATCTGTTATTCGTAAAACCTAGTTACATACCAACACACACACAATATAACTGCATATATAAATATTGATATTGATACTATTAGATAATTATAAACTATACACTACTAATAGTTTTTATTCAAATTGACCAATTGGTGCTGCTATACTGTTCCTTCTGATATCTGTCTGAGGTTGCATGGTCAGCAATATTGGATGAAAAACAATTCCAAGAGTTGGGTAACATTTCATACCTAAAACAAAACTAAGATTGATTGTTTAATTATATTGTGTAGCTGGAATACTTGGTAATTATGCAATAACATAGCGTGTCAGGAGTTTGTGAGGCAGTAAATGGCTCCCTGTGCTGATTAAATGCCAAGTTTATGTGCTATAGTGTTTCATCAAAGCACAGAAGCTCTTTATTGCTGAAGGCATTTCTCAGAAGAAAAGGCTTTTGCTGGGAATATTTTTGGAATTCAGAATTTCACTCCAATCTGTTTAAAAGACTGAACAATTTTGAAATAAATGCCTGCCAGGGGAAATGGTTGTTAAACTAAATAGAAGCTCCCCTGGAGTTTCAAACGCGTTGCGAGGAGATTTAGTGCATGAAGCAAAGATGAAACAAAACACATTAAAAAATGCATTATGTTTCTGCATTTCACACAAACAAAGATCCATGACTGGTTGAAGATAATCACAGTAGTGGTTGCAGTAATGTAATATATTGACAATGATTATTAGGGAAGAATCTTTCATAGAAGATTCAATGTATCACAGGCTATTTTTTAATGTATTTGATTTCTCTCATCTTTTCTCCCTGCACTAAACATTCTCATGAAATCCCTGGGTGAGACTGCCGATCTCACAGGATGCCAAAGGAGCTTAAGAAGAAGAGGGCCATTTGCTCTATTTGGTTTGATCCTTCCAGAATACCAAACTTATTTTCTTCCCATTAAGCATGAAGCTGTTTCTTAAATGCATCCAGTGTCCTGTCCTGCCCTTTGCCACCTTTCCTGGTAACCTGCGCCAGTTGTTAATTACACTCTATAAATACATACTTCCTGTATCGCCTTGTGTCTGTTATAAAATCAATGTTTCACCCCAAGTGTTATGTGTATAAACATTTCGGGCCCACTTGTATCACCAATTTAAATTTCATCATTTTGGTATTAATTTTCACCTTAGGTAAGCAAATGTACATCACTTGTGACTTAAAACTCCAATGTGTAATCAACCCACAAAATCTGGGAAATAAAGTCTGTGAATTTTATTGAGCCTCTGTCCTCCCTCTAAATTATGGAGTTTGAATCTCTGATAGTTTGAATCTTTGATAGTTAAGACCTTTCTTTCCACAATGCAATGCATGAATTGAGTTTGTACATGGAAGATGGAATTCTACTCTAGCAGTCAAACCTCATGGAAAGAACAACACAATGATAGAAGTTTCACAGAAGAAGGCCATTTGGCCAATCGTGTCTCTGCTGACCCTTTAAGAGCAATCCTTTTAGTCTCATTTACCTTCCCTTACCCTATATCATTTATGAAGTAACTGAACAATATTAAATGTTATTTTTCTCTATTATTTTTCTTCAGTTGTCAGCTGATAGTCGACGACAAGGACAGAAAGACAGAAGATTGCCTGTCAAATTATAGAGAAGAACCTTCAGAAGTCAAAATGCCATTTTACTTTGGAGGCTTGCCACACAACGAGCATGTCAATTTCACAGGCTGCATCAGCAATGCATATCTCAGCAGGTAGCTTTTTGTTCAGCTTCCATATCTATTTATAGGAGGTAGAAAGAAAAAAATCTTAGATGTGTTGGTTCAATATATCAAACTCAGCCTTGGATGTTTAGAATTCCATTGATAAGACCTAATATATTTCAGACAGTCAGTCACAGCATAGCAGAGGTATCTCAAAATTACCTTTGATAGAAACGCTGTATATTAATCTGTGGCATTTCACAGTTAAAATATAATCTCTTCAGTACTGTTTACCACATTTACATTATTTGTCAAACACTAGTATTGTCTATTCGCTTCCAGCACTCCTTAATTGTGCACATTTTCATGAAACGTTTTCATGAAACTGTCTTGCCCCACTCTATCTTTGTGACCTCTAGTACCCCTACTGCCCTGGGCGATCTCACCACTCAACAAACACAGGTCTGCTTTATTTATAATAATAATAATCCTTGCATTTAATATAGCTTCTTATCACATCGGTGAAATGTCTCTGTGCACTTCACACATTATACTGTAAAGTAAATTAACTGTATAATTTGTGGGCAAAACACACAGTGAATTGCATACAGCAACGTGCCACAAACAGTTGTGGATTGACCAAATTATTATTTTTTTATTTTTTTGGAAGGCAGAGGGCTTGAAGCGGGGGAGTTCCAGAGGTTAGGGGCATAGTGGGAGAGGGAGGGAGACCCAGAAGATTGTTCTGATGTAAGTTTCCACGTGAATGCCAGGCAAAGTGATACCAAATGTGCTAAACAAGACCAAATCTTTACCAAAATTAAAATAAAAAGAAGTCACATTTCTTATTAAATTGGGCAAAAAGAATATTATTTGAAAGTGGAGCCTTTTCTGTTTATGAAGATAACAGCTCCCAATTTGTCAATGAGCCCTTTTATAAGGGAGGGAGGTAAAACATTCAAGCTAATATAGCAACACTCTTAAAGACAGCGACCCCTGATGCTTTGTCCCCACTTTTGTGTTTGCCTGAAGAGTTCAGATAGAAGAAGTTTCACCATAGAAGAAGGTTATTGACCTCAGTATCTTTGTGCCAGACTGCTGTAAGAGCAATCTGTCAGCCTCACTCTCCTTCTTTATCCCCCATTCCCCTTTAAATTTTTCCTTTCCAGATATTTAATAATAATAATAATCCTTGTATTTGATATAGCATGTTTCACGTCTTTTAAAATTTGTTTAATTCTCTTTTATAAGTTGAATGGATAAAGGATCCATTCTGCAAAATGTACCAGAATTTGTTAAATATATTTTTTAAATTAATTGGAACATTGAATTGTGCTGTTTTGAAAATATGACAGACTTGACAAAGATACTGAAGTGGAGGATTTCCAGACATATACTGAGAAAGTTCAGACTTCCCTATATGGCTGTCCAACTGAGACTCATCCAGCAGCAATACTCCATCAAAGTCAAAGGAATTCTGCTAAAGCTAAGAGAGGACGCAGTGGAAAGGTAATTAGACAGCTCATACTGTATTGGCCCTACTCTCCACTAAAGGATCACTGAATGCTAGTAACTGGTCAATATGTCTGATTTGTACAATAGTAAAACTTGCATAAGTCTTTCTTTAAAAATCATATAATCGCCTAAGTTTTGCATGTAGCCGAGTCTCATTCAGTTTCCTACCAAAAAACTCATAATTTCTTTGCACTGGTCGTATCTTATAAAGCAAATCATCTCCTAACCTATAACTCTGCTTACCACACTTACCAGCTGCATTGAATCCAGCTGCAGCGATAAATGAAATCCGGACCCGTCGGCGCATGCTCACTTTCCGGCTGTATTGAAATGTAGATTATTGATTGAATTGGATTTTGTACGATTTGCGCAAATTTGCCTGTAACTCTTACTTCACTTAAGTCATATTAAATGTTATTGTCCTGACTGATACGACTTATGTGAATTTCACAAAACAAATTTATTTGCGATTGCAACTTCAGGTTTGAGAAATTTGCAGACCTCGAATTGAAAATCTCAAGTCAGCAAAGTCCGAAAATAGTCAGCAGGCAAAACACTCACTTGTTTCCTCTCGGTATTTTGCTTGCTGCTTTCTTTTTTGTCTGAAACTGCCAAGCTAGGATTCACAATTCACCAGTGAATCATCAACTCCCAAGTTGGAATAATCCAAAAAATGAGAATTTTTAAAAATAATTATATTCTGATTAAGGTTGGGAGAGATAAAACAAGTTTTCTGAAAGATCCAGTTGCTCTGAATGGAAAGCTAGAAGAACAATACCTACAAGACGATGCATATTGCTACCTGCCAATCAAGCCCAGAGCTATCCAACATGCGTATCAATATGGAGGAATTCCCTACAGTCGACAGGAGTTTCACAACATTCCAGAATTTTTTAGCCACAAGTAAGACATTGACATTGAATTATTCTGAAAGGTTTGAAATCTTATTGTTATTCATCTGTGGTTAAGAGTAACTAGAAAAATAGTCAGCAGGCAAAATGTAAGCTGTTGTAATTGTAGATGGGTTCAAGAATAACTTGCAACTCTGTGTAAAGCTCTTCTTATTAATTCAGGGTTGTTATTATTATGGGTGAGCATTGTCGAATCAACTTTGATTTTATTGGAACTGTTCATAATATTCACTGTTGTAATAATATTTCTACTTTCAGGTCTCATTTCTCTGTCAGTATGCGAACTCGCTCTCCCCATGGACTCATATTTTACGTGGCAAATGAAGACGAAAGCCAATTTATGACACTTTTTGCTGCTCGTGGCCACCTTATTTACTCTTTCAGTGATGGTAACCATAAATTGAAAATAAAAAGTCAGGAGAAATACAATGATGGCCTCTGGCATAATGTAAGTTATAAAGCAATGTTCAAAATGTAAATTGCTTTTATTTTGATTTTCTCATTGAAATGCTAACATAAACTACTGGGGATATTGAGTGACATTTGACACTTATACCCCAACTCTGTTACCTTTCCAGACTGCTTTATATTTCGTCAATATTTTCACTGTTGTTTGTAACTTCCCCCTGCCCAGTTTGGTATCATCAACATCTTTAGGTTGCTTACATTGCATCCCCATATCCAAATTATTTAATAATAATAATAATAATAATAATCCTTGCATTTGATATAGCGCTTTTCACGTCGGGAGGACGTCCCAAAGCGCTTCACAGAACACACTGTGAAGTCAATTGACTGTACATTTGTGGGCGAACGCGGCAGCCAATTGCGCACAGCAATGTCCCACAAACAGTCGTAGATTGAAAATGACCAATTTATTATTGTTTTTGGTTTTGGAGGGATTATTATTAGGTGTGTGGAGTAAGGAAACTTGCCCAAGGTTTCGCCCTGCGTGGAATTGAACTCAGGTCTCTCGCTTGCAAAGCGAGTGCTCTAACCACTGAGCTACAGGACTCCACAAATGTACTGTATGAATAGCATTGACTCCAGCATAAGACTCAGAGGCACTCTATTCTCGCTTTACAACAACAACAACAAGATTACATTTGTATAGCACCTTTCACATCGGGAGGACATCCCAAGAGGAGGGTTTTGAGGCGGGACTTGAAGGAGGCTAAGGAGAGGGTGAGGTGGAGTGACTGGGGAATGGAATTCCAGAGGTTGGGGCAGAGTGGCTGAAAGCTCTCCCACCAATGGTGGGGCGGGTGGCTCGGGGGACGTTGAGCAGGCCGGAGCCGACTGAGCAGAGGGAGTGGACAGGTTGGTAGGGGGTTAGGAGGTCGCAGAGGTAGGGTGGGGCGAGGCTCTGGAGGGCTTTGTATGTGAGAACCAGGATCTTGAACTGGATCCTCTGAAAGAAAGGGAGCCAATGGAGTCGGGCGAGAATGGGGGAGATGGAGTCATAGAGTTTGGTGCGGGAGAGGACACGGGCTGCAGAGTTCTGGATTATCTGCAGCCTGTGGAGGGAGGAGTTGGGAAGCCCGACAAGCAGGGTGTTTGCATATTGGAGCCTGGAGGTGATGAAGGCATGAACAAGAGTTTCAGCGGCCTGAGGGGTGAGGTAGTGGCGGAGTCGCGCAATGTTATGGAGGTGATGGAAGGCTTTATTTTATACCTTTCACCCAGTTTCTTAGTGTTAATGAAACAGGTATTTTCCTTGATCCAGTGTAAACAACAATAGTAGCAGGAGCAAATTGTGTTTATATAGCACCTGTTATGTCAGGAAGACATCTCAAGGTATTGGACAGTCAAGGATTTGCACCAGAGCTGGGGGTTGGATTCAGGAGGGGTGGGTGCCAACGGGGATGTCAGTGGGGAGATGACTGAAGGCATGGTTAAAGAGGAAGTTCTTGAAATGGACCTTGAAGCAGATGAGGGAAGGGGCAAGGTGAAGTGATTCTGAGATGGAGTGGCTGAGAGTGGAGGCAGATAGGCTAAAAGTCCAACCGCTGATGGTGGGGTGGGAGAGTGTGGGACGTGAAGCCTGCCGAGTGTAGGGAGAAGACGGATTGGTAGGGTTTAAGAAGATCCCAGTGTTAGAGTGGTGCAAGACCATGAAGGGATTGAAAAGCGAGGACAAGTATCTTGAACTGAATCCTTAGCGGGATTGGGAGCCAATGGAACCTGCCGAGGATGGGGTTGATAGGGGTACAAAGCCTAATGTGGGAGAGGACACAATCTGCAGAATTCTGGAAGGAGGGAGTTGGGAGGTCCGGCGAGCAGTGAGTTAATGTAGTCTAGGCTGACGTAATAAATGCATTTGCAACCATTTTCAGCAATTATTTAGAATATTTTGTGATAAACATGGTTTTCATTATGTTTGTACAATATTTTGCCAATTAAACTGACTGTCCTTTCTGGGTGATTTGTTTACTAGAGGTTGTGTCCAATATGGCCAATCTATTTAAACTGAGTTCAAGAAATTTCATGCTTATGAGTATAGAATTGTAATTACTTGCCAGAGTCATCTCTGTGCATTGCTTTTAGTAGTGGTACATGCACTATACTACAATTATATTTAACACCTGACAGAGAAAAATCACATTTGAAAATGTTTTCAGCCAATTCTTTTTTCTATCTTAGATTTTTAACCCTACCTTAGAATCCATTGCCAATCATCACAATCATCATTTTATTGAAACAAAATCAAAGAGAAGTATTTAAAAATAAACTTCCACTATTTTTAATTGTCTTGACTTAATATTTTCTGTATTTCATTCTTTCAGATCATCTTTATGCGTACAGGTAATAAAGGTCGCTTAGTAATTGATGGTCTGCAGGTTCTGGAGGACAGTCACAATAGTCCTGCCTTTGCATTGCACATCAGGGAGCCTTTCTATATTGGTGGTGTGCCTTTGGGAAGAGCCACCAAGAACATTCAGGTAAATTCCTCCAATATTAGAGACCTGTAGAGTATAATATTGGTGACTGCATTCCAAATACTGAATGCTTCTCCTGTGAGAACATCTAACTGGACCCATACACAGTGTGTGTGTGTGTGTATGTTTACATTGTTCATAATTTTGCATTTAAAAACTATCAAAAATAAGATAAATATTCTCAGGATTGATGACTAGAATTAACTTTTGTGAAGCAAGCAAGGAGTGTGATGACCAATGTAAATATTCTCTGTGTATTTTTCACAATATGTCTCTTTGTCCCCCTTATTTTGGTATTGTTTTGTCTATGATATCTTTCCATTGTTACTAAAACAGATCAGGTTTGCAGTTATCTATTATTCAGTAAAATTAGACTCAGTGGTTGTGAAATACAGTAGGCATTGTGCGGGGTTAATATAACTTACTGCAAAGTTATGAGGAAGGGTTGAAGTCAGGACGCTAGCATATTTTAAGAAATAGCTCTAAGCTTTACTAGGAACATTGGAATCAAATTCTGAAAGAATGAGAACAAACAGTCTGAAGGTTCTTCTTCATCTGAACTTTCTTGGGATTTTGTGATTATAAATGTCTAGATTTCTGAGCAGATGATTATGCCTGGAAGATGAAAGGGTGGAATTGTCACCTATGAGTTTATTCCTAAATTACCCAATTTGATTGAGAATTGACAAACATCTGTGTTTGACAATGAATTTAGGATCAGCAGGCACCATGAATAAATTGTTTATGTCAGAACAATAACCTCATTAAGCAAAAATGCTGCAGTATGTTAACCTGAAGCACTTCTAAATATGTTGTGTTCAGTAATGCATCTCAAAATATGTGGCTTTATAATAATAATAATACATACATTTTATATAGTGCTTTATTATGTCATTGAGACATCTCAAAGTGTTTCACAGAATATATTGTAAAGTGAATTGACTGTGTATTTTGTGGACCAAACGCAACAGGCAATCACGCACAGCAGTGTCCCACAAACAATCGTGGATTCAGTTACCAAATGCTTTTTTTTGGAGGGATTATTACTCTCGGAAAGCAATCCGCCACTCGACTAACAATTGGGTTCCTACTTACTGCTCGGTAAACAGAGGCGTGGAGTAAGGAAACTTGGCTGAGGTTTTGCCCCGCCCGGGAATAGAAGCCGGGTCCTCTTGCTTTCAAGGCGAGGGTACTAACCACTACACTAAGGGCTTTGCATATATGGTGAAAGTGCAAATAACTTCAAAAGGGTTGAGTTGACTAAAATATATTTCTTTCTCAGGTCAAATCAGTCCAGAGTTTTAATGGATGTCTGCGGAACTTCCAGTTGAATGGACAGGTGCTTTCACCTGCTATCCAGACATTTGGTGTTACTCCATGTTTTGAAGGCCCAATGGAATCGGGGACATACTTCTCTGCAGATGGAGGATATATGGTTCTGGGTAAATCAAAGAGCTATAGTTTACTGGGCACTTGTGTCGCAGAGATGTATCATATGATTAACATGAACACACAGTGAAGTCATCTTAGTCTGGACTCCATTTATTTAACAGCGAGAAAATCAATTCCTCAGCTTCAAATAATCATTGCAAATAGGAGTAGCAAGGCCTATGTTTATCTGTGTTTGTCATTAAAGGTTAAAGGCAGCAATTAACACATACACAAGGATTGCAGTAGACTGTTGAGCCTGTTGAACCATTGATTGTTTTTGATCAGACAGGTGTTGCATATGCAGAAATCTGATGCATTTTCAGTGCAAATGTCAAAAGACATCACTTATACATAATATAAAATTGCACAGCACATAAGTAGATTAGGAGAGTAAATTAGGATGGTTGGAGGCTCATATGGAGTATAAACATGGTGTGGACTAGTTGGGCCTGATTGTGTGCTATGGCATTCCATGTAATATACTTACAGTAATATATTTCCTCTTTTTGTACACCCAAGAAAGGCAGAGTTGAATCTTGCCAAGTTCAGTACTGACCCACCCTTTCTCCCCCTCCACACATGAAATAATGGATTTCTCTTTGGTAGTGAAACTGACCAACAACTATTGATATATACTGATGTAGCTTGTGATTGCAAGACTAAAAGATTTTTAATTTTTTTTTTCAGATGATTCTTTCAATTTAGGATTACAATTTGAGCTTGTTTTTGAAATTCGCCCCAGAAATCATTCAGGAATTTTGCTGCACGTCCACAGCTCAAATCGGAAGTACTTAAATCTCTTCATGGAAAAGGGGAAGGTACGAAAGAACCATTTTCAAAAGGAATAACACCCATTTAACGATTAAGATACACAATAATTCTTCTACTCTGAGCACTCTGTGAAGAGAAACTTGTTGATGTGAACTATCCATTTTCCTGCTTTACTTGTTTTTTTTCCAAATTTATCCCTGTGCAGTTACTAACACAATGGTAAAAAGAGATGACCCACAGGAATAGGTGTCTATTGCCTGTTGTATATTTATGTTTTTGGCTGATTATTAAAGGTTTCTTTGTAAAAGGATATACAAGAGATGCATGTAAATGTTTCACTAACCAGTTGGTATGCTGAAATTTATTTCTGTGCAGGTTATGTTGAAAGTTCATAATGGAGCAAAGGAATTTGCAACATCAGTCACAGCAAAGCAAAGTCTGTGTGATGGTCAATGGCACAGAATAGCAGGTAGAGGTCATTTTATTAAAATAGTTAACTATTGCCAAGTAACAAATATCCTCTCCTCTTGAAATCAGGAGTTTACTGTCCCACAATTGAGATCAGCCATGATCATGCAGTAGTTAGAACCAAGGGCAAAATGATCATTCCTACTATTGGCAATACAGTATACAATAATAGATTTTATATCTACATACATTTTACATTTACATACTTTCATATGGGGAGGCCGTTTCAAATTGCCTAACAATGCCCTTGGTGACCACCTGAACTAGGGGTGGGAAGCGAGGGAATGGGCAGGAGAAAGTTGAGCGAAAGCTCTAAGATGACCAAAAATGTGCTCAAAGTTGATCGAAAGTGGGTAAAGTTGGCAAATAACCATATGTGAGTTAACTTTTAGAGTTGATAATTTACTTGGCTACTAATAGAATAAACGCATTGCATAATGTAGCATTGAGCTATATGGAACAGGATGAGCCAGTGTTTAATTCTTGGTCTGTGCTGTTAGATAATCTCGGGTGGAACAGGAGTATTGGACTGCGATTGGCTGTCTGAAATTTTGAATTAGTCTCAAAAGCACACATGCACATGCATACCTTCTTCAGTTACCTGAGACATTGATTGGTAGGCATTCACTAAATTTAGACAATTGTGCTTTCCTACGTAGTTTATTTTATGCAAATATTTTTATTGAGAAACCCTAGATGAAGGGGCAAGCCAGGTAATGAAAGCAACTATTGAAGTTCAAAAATGAGGCAAGCACAAGGATATGATTTATTAGCCACTGATAGCACATCCTCAGTGCTTATGCTTTGCCAGAACAATTATCCCACAGTAAATAAATGCTGATTCATGGATCTTTGTAGTATGTCATCCAATTTGATCCATCAAGATGTGTTGCGTCATCAATTGCCCACCACTGACACAGTCATATGAGAAGATCGCAACACATTACACTTACTTTGCTACTGCCAAAATGTAAATGTATGGGAGGATTGCCTTCCTTCCCCCTGCCCCATTAAAATACACACATTTAAAATGCAAGAGTGTTTTGTAATTAGCGTAAATTTTGTAATTTTATAATTTCTGTTTCTCAGTTATCAGAGATTCCAACGTTGTGCAGTTGGATGTGGATTCTGAGGTAAACCATGTAGTGGGACCACTAAGTACACACTCTGTTGACAGCAAGGCACCGGTCTTTGTTGGAGGAGTGCCAGGTAAACTAACGTTTCAGTTTATTCTCTGCAAAAATTGCAATTTATCAGAAACTAGTTATTCAAAAGATATCAGAAACTGGTTATTCAAATTGGAAGCAATGGTAGAGGAGCTTTTCACCTTTCTGAGAAGGTCTTCAGTAAAGAACGGGTGCTTTTAATGACACATGACTATTTGGCATTTGTTTACTCATTCATTCAGTAAACAAGTGGAGTGAAATATTAAACGAAAATTGCACTCAAATTTGAGGAAGAAAGATTTGAGACCCTGCTGCAGGGAAGGAAAAATATACAACAAATTGCAAATTCCTTCAATAAAAATAATGCATTCTGTGAAGCGCTTTGAGACGTCTCAAAGACGTGATATGGCACTATATTAAATGCAAGGATTAGCATTTGTAGCACCTTTCTTGTCAGGAGGATGTCCCAAGGCACTTGACAGTTGAGGGCTTGCACCCGAGCTGGAGTTGGATTATCTTCAAGTCATGATCACAGGAAGAAACTTGAAATATGTGATCTCTACAACCCAATTCAAGATTTCCCCCAACCTCATACATTTGATGGGTTTAATATTGCTTCCTTATTTTCTAATGCATAATATTGAATGGCTCTCTCCTTGTCATGTCCTATTTGCCTGAGTAATCTCAGAAACCTGATAATAATCATTCAGTAAATTACGCTATCAATTGCAAGTGACAATTTATACTGGGGGCAAGAAAAAAGTGCCTTTGAGGGGATTAAAGGGTATGCTGTAGGGAGAATGCTCTCAGGTCATCGTTTTGAAATTTATAGGAACAGACAGATTGATCGAAACAAAGTATTCTACTTAGAATTTTAATTCAATCTGAAAACATTCTTGTACAAATTAACCAGCACTACAGTAACACATTTTTGTTCTCTCTCGTTCCTCAGAGTCTTTGCTCAACCCAAGGTTGAACATTCGTCACTCATTCACTGGATGCATCAAAAACTTTAACATCAATGAAAGTCCAGTCATTTTCAGCAAGGCTGCTCTGGTCAGTGGAGGAGTCCACATCAATTCCTGCCCAGCAATCTAGCAAGCACTGCTTCTGCAATTTATATCTAACAACCAAAGGAAAGCTGAAATGTCATCAATGTTCAACCTCTGGGGAGAGGCAGTAATTTTACTTAATTGATACAACTATTGGATGTAGCTTTCTCTTTCTTAAGTTTTAATAATTTTCCTTCATGCCATACTTTCCAGCGCATTTGTTTGATTTTCTTTTTATTTCATTAAGACTGATTAATTAAGAATTAATTGCAACAAGAAGCAGGACAAACGCATTTTCTATCCTGTCTTTGAAAGCAATAACATGGTGAAATTAGATTACATTGATCTTGGACCTGAATGAGCCAAATTTTTAGTTCTGGTTATCTAAAGGGGAATTTTGATTTGGTGGTTTCCTTACTTCTCTATGTACAACATCCTTGAAATGACATAGGCAGCAACCTGACATCAGGGAAATCAGCCATTTTCACACTTTTCCTATAGTGTAGTCTCCAACCTATTAGAACAGTCATAACCCGGTGTCCCTATATTTTCAGATGTGCACTTATATGAACAGCTGTTTAAACGTATCTGATTTGGGATGAAGTTTTATGTCAATAACACTAATAAAACCCCACAGAAATGGAGGCAAATAGGCAAATGGTTTTCACCTTGGTTGGATTTCATTTTTTTTAACTAGTAAACGTGTGTGAGAGAGAAACCGTCTTCTTCCCACAGCAGCTTTTTCAGTTATTCACCTAATTTCTGCTTCTGCTTACTGGTGCTTTTATTTAATGAAAGACAGCTGAAGTCAATAAACCCAAATACTAGCGAAAATGAAATTGCCTTAAATGTGACCAATGGAAATGAGTGGGGGAAAAGTGCCCTACTGGTATATAATCAAGAGGAGTAATTTCCGTTTGTGTATATTTTTTGGAAAAAACTTTAAATAGATTAACTTTCATCAGCAGGTGGGTACGACTGCAGTTAAATTCATTCTCATAGTGGGACGGGAGATTTAAAGAACTTCTGCCTCTCATCCTCTCTCTTCCTCCCTCCCCCATAAAAGCACAGTAATAAGTCTTGCTGAAATGAATAAATTGATCTTACTGCCAGTAGTATTTGCTATTTCAAGTGTTTTAAAAGGCTGAAATGGAAAGTGTAAATTCTGTGCCTTAACTGTGGAAAATTCCTGGAGCAAAGAAGAACCAGTCTTGACATATCCTGATACATTCACAATGTTATGTTGCAGATCCTCATTTCTGCCACTGGAGGTGGTCAGATTGATAATACAGGGATCCCTGGTGCCAGGAGGACCTCTTCTGACACAGATTGGGTACTGCACTGTCAATTATTTTTCTAAAAAAGCAATTTAGCAGCAAACTAACAAACATTAAAAAAACTCAGCAAAACTTACAATTCATATCTGTGGCCGCTGAGTTTTCTCCATACCTCTCCCATTGGGAAATGATTGCCAAAAACATACATTGTCACCAGTGTATGTGTATCTGTTTGCCTTTTACTGTAATGTGAAAATACTGCTTCAAGTGACGGTGATAAAACACCAGTCTTAAACTGTCACACCACAATCATGTGGAATATATTGTTCAATGTTATCTCATTTATTCTAGTGATAACCATTGTTGAACTTTACTCCCTCCCCGTCTACGTCCATGTAAAATGTGAGTGAACATAAAACTGTTCAGCTTTCCTCTATGCTGAGCTAATAACGTCCTCAGGCGATTGTATAGAGCTTCAGTTTCGCTATGAAATGCTGCTCCAGTGTAATTCTTCCACAACACTGACTTAATAAATTGCAGAACTTCACTCGCAAACCTTTTTGCTCTTGCAGTCAGTACATTGGTTAATGATACCTTTTCATATGTTTATAGGTTTTGGTAGGGTGTATCTCCTCTCTGAATTCTAACACTCTCCAGGTATTATTAGAGCCTGAGCCTGAACACAGTCCTATTTCTGAAGCTGTTTTTTTTCTGTTTGTCTTTTAAGAATTACAGATAATTAAAGCAGGTTGTGATTCCAATTTTTGGTTGTTCCCTCTTCACACCTTATCATGACTATTGGCTAAGTTGATCAGAGAGAATATCATGGTTGTCCTCCAATTTAACATGAAGTTAGGAATTGATAACCAGACCCTGTGTATGTCTACAACCAACGCAAATGGCACAATTCCATTGAACACAAGGATATATGATGCTATTGACAAACAAATAATGTGCACATCCTGTGAGAGGTGAACCTTTCTTGTGAAGGTGATGATTGGGCCTATCAATTTGTTCGATTTAATCTTTATAGGATTGTATTACCATTTCTGCAACAAAATACTCAACTTTATTCAGAAAACATTACAATAGGCATTCTCCAAAGTTATTCACATCTTTTCAATGTACAGTTCACTTTAGTAGTTGTTCTGCTTTGGAAAGCAGGAAATTTAAAAACTGCAAAATTCTGTTCATTCTCCTCCGCTTTCATTTTCAATTTCATGTTTGCAAATCAAAGCAAATCAGGAAGTTATAAGTTAACTTGAGTTTTCAGTTCTCTTTGTTTAAAAATGGCAGTAATTATATTAATAGAATTAAAATAAAATAAATTTAAATAAAGTTGAATGACAAAATAATGTTCCTTTAAAATCAAATCTTTAAGACAATTCAAAAACACTAGTTGGTTTGATGTTTCTCAACTAAGACACGTATACACAATTCTTTACCTTTAATCTGTACTAAACTTTCCACTGGATTAATAATGAATCTCATAATACTGTTGCTGAATGAGTTGTTTATATAACTAGTCAATGAATGTTGAGTTGGATTAGGCTCAAAAATTGCACTAGGATTCCAATGTGCAACACAACAAATGTGGAATGTGGAAATTCAGGTAAATGTGGGAATTCTGCCTTCTATTTTTCACCCAAGGGATCCCTATTAAGGGATGAGATGAAAATAATAAATTGGAGAATGAGTGCATGGAACACATTAACACATGAATTACATGAATATCCGAACACTGCTTACAGTACCATTGTTTACTCCTCTCTGAATCTAAGCATTCAGGCAGCAAAATGAATAAAAAATACAACTGAATTTGGCCTTTACCTAAAGATTATTTTTTGCAGAACTGGGACAATCATTGTCTTCAGATTCCTTGAATCACTGTATCGAGTAACAGGAGAAATAATAGAAATCTGGAATTAATTTGTCATCAGACGTTTTACTGACACAAATAGACTAGCAACCTCAAGCGAGTGTCACCAGTTATGAAACAACTATTCAGCATGCAACAAAGAAACAAAGAGCCTCGCCGACTGGCACCAACTCCTAGATTTCTTCTGCTGAGACTGAATCACAGCCGCTGGTATGATGAACTGTTATGAAGCCTGTCCACACTGTAAGTTCGAAGGTCTTCCCATGGTTACATAGACATCAATAGGCACATTAGTAATTGTCAGGCAGTGACTCCCATTGCATCTTCTAAGTTGCCTGTATAACACAATTAGGAGAGTTAAAATCTAAAAATAGCTGTCAAATATTTAAAAACATTTTGTTTAAAAGTCCTCATCACCTTCAGGACTTCATAAAAACTTAGCAAAAAAGAATTAATATTTTAAACAAACAGGAGCATTTTCAGGCTCTTAAAAGTTACAGAAAAACAACTTCGAAATTAATATTCAATTTAAGATGTTTTATCTTAAGGCCATGACTGGGTGATTTCAGGATAAGAGGGGTAATTTCAGGTTAATGAGATAGGATAGGATTTTTAACCAACTTTGATAATTAAATTATTTAACATAACAATTGCACAAGTTTCTGGACCATCAGGGCAGCAAATAAATAATGGAGACAGTGAGGAAAGGGGATTTATACTAATTGAAGGTGAAGTGGGTCAGATATTTACATAGATTTACATAGATTATACAGCATGAAACAGGCCATTTTGCCCAACCAGTCTATGCCAGTATACATACTCCACAAGTTTACACTCATTCTTTACTTTCTCCCATACCCTTCTAGTCCCTTCTCCCTCATGTGTATATCTTGCTCCCTCTTAAAGATTCATCCAATCTTTCTTCTTTGTGATCTCCATCTCATTTTTTTACCTGACATACTTATTACGTGTACTTTCTATGATGCAAGACCAATTCCTTTGGTTGCTACTCATGTTCCACTTATGCTGTCTTTTGACAATAAAATGCTCAAAGGAAAATAAATGCACAACATGCACAATGGGAGTCTTGTGATGCCATGGTGTAAAAATTCCAGTGAAGATTCAAGTGGCAGAGTATCTGTCTTATGTTTTCTCTGTTTCCACAGCACTGAGCAAAGAACAGGAAAATAAATAGTACTTTTAACCTGCCACTTTATTATAAACGATCCTACAATAAACCTCATGTTTGATGTACCATTTTTCACTTTAGGAGGATGCCTCAAACCACTTCATAGGATGTACTCAAAATTTATAGACTGTATTTTTTTTTGTTGACCACCAAGATATTTCCTGGCCACCAGCTCTTGGACTATGATCCTAGTGGAGCACATTTTCAGCATTACTTGCAGGTGTTGAATGATGTTACTGTCACGTTCACCCACAAACACACAGTAACTGACTTTGCAGTATATCCTGGGCGCTTTGAGGCATCCTCGCGATGTGAAAGATGCTATACCAAATCCAAGGTTTATTATTATTAGTGATACCTTAACTATACCAATTACAATAGCATAATAATATTACACTCTTTAAACTTAGAAACGCCACGATAACAGCTCATTCTTGCATTTCCTACTCTTATCTTTCTTCTGGAAGTAAAATTGCTAAAGCAATGTCAACGGTGCCACACAGGAGGCTGCATTTGTATTTTGGCGTTTTGTTTACTGGGAACCTGCTTAATAATCCTTGCATTTGATATAACGCTTTTCACGTCTGGAAGATGTCCCAAAGCGCTTCACAGAACACACTGTAAAGTGAATTGACTGTATATATTTGTGGGCAAACGCGGCAGCCAATTGCGCACAGCAATGTCCCACAAACAGTCGTAGATTGAAAATGACCAATTTATTATCGTTTTTGGTTTTGGAGGGATTATTATTAGGCGTGTGGAGTAAGGAAACTTGCCCAAGGTTTCGCCCTCTGCCTGGAATTGAATTCGGGTCTCTCGCTTGCAAAGCGAGTGCTCCAACCACTGAGCTTTGCTTGGCTTATGATCCACAATTCTTATCAAAGGGAACACGTTATTGCCGCTCCCTCTACGCGTTTGATTGACCATTTGAAACCGAGGAAACCAACTCATCCATCTCACACGGCCAAAGTCAAGGACTGTGTTGGGAGGTGACGGGCAGCAAAACAGGTCCCTGGGGTGGGGGTCTCAGTCGGGTCTAAACCCTGTGAGCTGCATTGCGAATGGGAGGGGTGGGGTGAGGGGGGTGGTGGGGGGGGGGGGTGGGGGTTGACATGACTTTGCATAGCAAAGCGAAGCTCCCGACGAGTGAGTGACAGCTCTGCAGCGAGTCAGATGCTGCCTCCAAACACACACACACACACACGCAGTGATGGCTTACCGTCCCTGACTGGGTGCGGGGAAGATGACTTCCCTGTCTGAGATGGAGCCCAGGCGCTGCTGCTCGGCTCTGGCTGCGGCTTCCCGCTGAGGCTCTCCCGACATCAGACAATCCCCCGCCTCGGGAAACCTCCGGGACTGCACAGCAGCCAACTCACCCGACATACTTTAGGAACTGGGTGGGGAGAGAGAGAGAGAGAGAGAGAGAGAGCATCAACCGTAACCTCAACCACTCACTCTTTTAGCCGTAAAGTTGCAACGGTATTAATAGGGGCATCAGAGCCACAGAGCGCTCTCCAGCCTCAGTGGTGCTGTCGCCCTGTGCGCTGCACTGCACTGTTCGGATGTGCAGACCAGTGGGTCACTGCGTTGATGAGAATCCACGTGGAGCGGTACCATAAGAGAGATCTCTGCCTCTGTGTCGGTAGGTGGTTCCTGGAGTGATCAGCCCACGCCGACGGCTTCCAGTCCAGTAGTCAGTCGTTGCTTGACATGTGTGTGCGCTTCAGCCGCACCGGCACCGCCTGTCACAAAGATGATCAGCTGCTG